TACCACTGAATAAGGAAACCTCATTAGATGAAAAATGTTATGAGCACCACCTTTTGTATTTCTACAAGTTCATAATCTATATATTATTGATTATGGGCTAGCTACTAACTTTAAATTTTGGCGTTCACATTTAGGTGGATTCATCAAGCCAAGCACTTCAGAGCTATCACTTATAAAAAGAGGGAATCAATATGTAAGCAGCTAGAAATATATACCAAATGATATGTAGACCACTGTTCGAATATGGCCACATTATACTACAAACAAGCTCCAGAGCAGCCCTCCACAATATGGAAGTTGCTGAAAGATCATGTTGAGAACAATAAGAAAGCTCTGCCACCCCAACAATCCACTGCATAACCCATCCAATCAGTTACTATATGAAACAATTAAAAATTACACATTAAAATTGAAACCCCAACATTGCTCCAAAAAGGAAGTACCCTGAAAAGCCAATGTAGGATAAAATAATGGACTAAAAAATCATTAATATATTTATATATTACTGTTTTCTTATATTATACCTACACTGTTAGACCTGCCTATTAAAAAAAAATATGTAACTATTAATTTTTTCTTCTACTTGAATTTTTAACTTTCAAGTACTGTCTCATGAAAGGTGTAAATACAATCTTAACTTAGTGCTTACAGCAGTGCAGTATCATGTTTAAGTAATTAACAAGAGTAGTGGTACAAAAAATTGTTTTGATTTTTATTTTATAGACCTATTTTAGGCGGAAAGAACGATGAATGGACATAAAATTTAAACTGAAAAAATCGAATTTTTAAATTGTCAAAAATATATTCTGAATTTAGTATTAAGGGTCTCATGTTTCAGTAATTACAAAGTTTTTTTTTTCAAATCAGTAACAAAATATGTTTATGATACATTTTTGGATATTATTGAAATAGGGTAGGTTATCATAAAAAACAGATTCTTCTTTTTCCAATTTAGTATTGGCAGAGGTATTAATATCACCATGGTTTCAATACAAATTCACCTTCATCTATATTCCATCAAACGCCAGGTACGCTAATCGTTTTTCCCGCAATTGACTGAAATATTTTTAGCGACCCTTATCAATATTGGCGCAGATGTTTACTAGGCGTAATAATACATACAAATACCTAAAGATTGTGCCATATATCTCGATTTTTATAAAAATTTTGCACCCTCATCATTTTTCCCGCCAGCTCCTTATTTGTTATCATAATATACAGGACCTAAAAGTGATAATTTTTGAAAAATTTTAATAGATAACTTAAAAATAAAAGTAACATTGGATTTTCATACACTATGAGTAAGGTTGCCACCTTTTTGAAAAGTGAATAAAAGACTACGATGCCGACAAAAGCTCTGAAAAATCCTCATCCTTCTAACAGACAAAACTCCTCTGTCCTCAGCTTATATATTTTTGTACAAACCATGTCCCTTCCAAAAATATGTGCTGTAAAAAAGACATTTGCATTTGCCGTAAAAAAGGACATTTTAAGCTCTAAGAAGTCACGAGGACATTTTGATTCAAAAAAGGAATGTCCTTTACAACAAAGGACAAGTGGCAACCCTACTAATGGGTCACGGTCACCCTGTATAAACTAAAAACCAAATTCAAGGATTCCAAACTTACATACAAAAATTATTGTTGATATATTTCACAACTGTTCAATATGAATTATTTTCTCTAAATACTAAACTATACCCATACTTGAAAAGAATGCAATATTTTCAATGTTCCCTAAATTAGAAAAATAATTCTTCCTGACCAAAAATGAATAAATAGAAAAGTACACATAGGCAACATTTATTACACTATTACTGTATGATGTGTTGCCTCTATTTAACAATAGTAACTAATGGCGCCCTATATTAACAAATAGAGAAAAGTAAAATTTATTACATAGACAACATTAATTACACTAGGAGTGTATGGTGTGTTGCCTCTATATGACAAGATAAGAAAACCAAAGGGACATAACCTAAAAACTAATTTATAATTTCCTTTTTCAATTTATTGAGATTTAAATTCGTCAGTCAGGCCTTCGTATTTGTGTATATAAAAAAAAAATTAAAAAAAATATATTTTCAATATATTAAGAAAGGTGTACTAAAAAGTGGCAAAATGACTGTGTTGTCCCTTAAAGATAGAAAATAGGACCTAAAACTAAAAAGAGATCTTGTAAAGTGCTAGAATTTATAAACTAAAAAGTACCAATGTAAATAAAATATGAAATCGATCAACTGTTCCTTGTCCCTCTCCTAACAGTTACCTAGTTTTTTCTTAATGGCTTTAATAATAAAAATAATTTAAAAAAATCAGTAGCACATTTAGGTCTATTTTTGGCAAACGAAAGATACATGCTAATAAAAAGTTGTAAGATTATTTAATTTCCTATTAGGAACAAGATTGTGCTTTTTATAATCCATAAACTTATTATTTTACCATGTTATCTGGGTGGACGAAAGGATAAGGTGCATGTAAAATAGAAATTAAAAACTTACCACTAGAAAAACAGACACTTGAAACTCAATGGCACATTATTTGATAAATTCTTGCACTATTAAACTAGTTTCTCATCATCTAACCGCGAAGATGCCTGTTTTGGGCTGGTTTCAAGTTTGTATTCTCCGTTTTCATCTATACCATAACATGAATCTGTAACAAAAATTGTATACAATGGCAGATTGCTTTGTATAAGAAAAGTCATAAATCAAAAATAAACCTCTCACCAAAATTAGTTACACAAGTATTTTCTAGTTTTAAATTTTTTTTTGAGTTATTATTTCAAAAATAAATGTAAATAGACCTGTCAAAATTGCTGCCTGTTGTGGGTTTTTAACATTCATTGATATATGTAGTATAGATTGCTGAAAGCGAGTTGCAAGTGATCATTAATCAGAATTGATTTAGCAAAAAAACCATATAAAACCAATTTTCTGCCTTTTAGGGCTGATTCCACCACAAAGCATGTATCTTCTAGAGACCCCACGCCAATGTTAAACTTTTAAACCAAATTAGCGCCACCTTGTGTTTGGAGCTGGAACTAAAATGACAATTGACAGATGGCGGTAAATTCAAATTGTAATTTTTAGGAGTAGGTAGTAGTTTTAAATTAAATTTTAAATGATTTTCACATAAATTATTTTATAAAATAAAGTATGGAACTAGTAAGTTCGAAACTTTTATTTTACAAAATAATTTAGGTCGATTATACCAAATTTGAGGAATTAATTTGTTATAAGCAGGGGTGTGATGTGGAGAGTTGGTTCTGCATATTATTATTAAATAAATATAAGATATATCAATAAATAATAAAGTAGAACATTCTTAAAATATGTTTATTAATAACAAATAAATATTATTAGATAAAAATAAATACAAATAATAATACATATTTAACGAATACTTACTTGCAGCAAATAGGTATACAATCTCAAATCTTTAAAATACCTATCAATAATTTAAATGTGAAGTAGAGACTAGGATACTACATTTTATTAACACTAAAATAATATATTTTATAAATGTCTTTTAAACCGAGGACAAATGTAATATAGGTATTGTATTAATAGGTGGATCCTTTTAACTATTCATTCAATGATAAATAGGTATTTGCCTTCCAAATACAGATAGTGGTATTACTCCACTGCTTTGTGTATTACTCTCTTATGTGAAAAATGATTTCGGAATCTAGTCCAGTGATAAATTGATTATCAATTAGTTGTTGTACCCGTTTGTCTTTTTATGATGCAGATGCATGGTGAATCAATAAGTTTTTCTCGAAGTTATCAACGTAGCACCCACAGGTAGCACCAAAATTATTGCAAATAGAAAAGCGAAACATCACAATTTTGCAAATAACTAAGACGAAACTATAAACAGAAACCAAAAGCCAAAGCCAACAAAAAATCACTAAAATCAGACGGAAAAATAAGACTAACCAAAAACATAAATAAATACACGTCACATCTTTGGAGTCTTTGGTTAATTTTTCTCCCATAAGGCTTAAAAATGGAGTAAGAAATCATAATTTCACCAGTAGCCCCATCTAGAGTTTGGAGCAAATAGCATAAAAAATGTCAGTTGTCGGTTTTGACCTTGGTCATTCACGTGGAACCTCTATGTGCTTTGTGGATTCCACCGTTATGTTAAACAGAGATTAAAATGACGTTAATGTAAAAATGTCACTTTAAACTTCGTTTAACACAACGGTGGAATCGGTCCTAAATGCAGTAAAAAAACAATTACCTACATTTTTGCTTCAATGCAGGAGTGCGTTTAGAAACCTCGCACGGCGCGTCTGACCACATGCATTAGAATTAGGCATTCCAACGACCTGTCAAACAATAGGTGCCAGTGGGAAATTCTTGTATATTTAAGGGGGTAGCGACATAGTCTTGCAACTTGGACGCTATTTTTATTCGAAGTAGTACTTGCCAAGCCTGCCAATTTATGAAGAAATGTATAGGTGGGTTTTTTAAATATTATTTTTATCGTGTTTGACATAAAATATTTAAATATAATCCATTATTCATGATTTTACGTAAAGTAGATAGAATACACCATATGTCGCCACCCTTAGATATACCAAACCTGCCCACTGGTAATTCATTTGTTTGGAATGCCTAATAGGGTCCAGACGCGCCATGCGAGGTTTCTAAACGCACTCCTGGAGTCTCATAAGGCACCTTAATAAAATGGTTGCCTGTGGGCATCGATATGGCAACCCTGTGGGCAGAAGGATTTGACAGGGTCAATGATATAAATAGTTATATAGATTGATTATATATATAATTATGTGAAGACCGGGGGGGGAACACTAATCCGCCATATGCAAGAACCACTTTGGACTAGACTAAAAGGAGGAATAGGTTCCGCAGGAAACAGTAGTCTGCCATGTGCAGGAACCACATTTGACAAAGTTGTAATTTATTTGAGGTTTTTCCTCTAACGTCAGTCAACACGTCAAAAAACTAACAACTGTCACGTCACGTTAGCAACGTCAAATTGAATGAGGCCGATTAAAAGTAAATATTCGTGTACAGAATAACTGAAAATATTATGAATAATTAATTTATCTGTATAATTATTACTAACATTACAATCTATCATAAGCAACAATGGGTAAGACCTCTAAAATACACAATTAAAATTGAGGTTAAGTTGTCTGTTTTCAGGAATGTTATTTAGTTATTTCAAAAGCCTAATAGGTACTCGCGAAATGAGAATCTTGATTTTGGGCTTAGATGGTGCAGGGAAGACGACAATATTATATAGATTACAAGTAGGAGAAGTAGTTACGACCATTCCAACCATAGGATTTAATGTTGAACAGGTCACTTACAAGAACCTTAAATTTCAAGTATGGGATCTGGGTGGACAAACTAGTATAAGGTATTTACTTTTTAACATTCAAATGGTGATTGTTCAATATTAATGTCAAGTTTTGTCTCCATAGAAATGGCAAGATTTTGATAGTGTTTGATACTTTTTTTTTACTGTGTTATTATAACTTGTCTTTATTATATGGTATTATATTTTACTCAGGTTGCAAATTGAGTATCTAAAGAAGAAAAACAAATATTTTCTTAGATTTTTATCATTTAATTAAAGAACACACCATATTTTTGATAGGACATATTTGTCTACTCTATTTACATTATTTTATTGAAGATTAGAGTACAACAATAGACTCAAAAAAGCATTTAGTTGCTACCTTTAATTAAATAATAATGTTCAGAGCCCTATGATTTTTAATTTAATAAAATAGTGAAACTGAAAAATGTAGTAACTGTAAATATTTTAATCCTTTATTAACTGCAAATTTTATTTATTGAATTAAGCAAAAATATTCTTATCTTTTATCCTAAAAAAAAAAAACGATTTTTATTGTATGATAAGTTCTTATTTTTTGTAGACCTTATTGGAGATGTTATTATAGTAATACAGATGCTATTATTTATGTGGTAGATTCAGCTGATAAAGAAAGAATAGGCATATCTAAAGATGAATTAGTTCCCATGCTAAGGGTAAGTTTATTTAATTTTTTGTATAATATACATTATAAATAAAAGAATCCTAATGAAAAATAAACTTGAAATTTTGGATTTTAATCATTTCTTTCATAATTGTTCTTTTAATAATATTTAATGTAGTCATATTTATATGTAAACAACTAATTTTAAATATAGTCTTGCATTAAATGGGTCAGTAATGAGATATAATTAGTATGCTTTACCTGAAGTTAAATTGTTTATAACTGTAACATAATATTTGGGAACCTTATAACCATTTGTAATTACTCTATTAGCTATTAATGGGCGCGAATAATTAATAATATTTTAATACCAATTTGTTTTTAAATGCATAATTAACTGATTATTTTTATGTAAATATAATTAAAAATTCCGATGCAATTGTACAAATTTTCTTATGGTATTTTCTTTGACAGGAAGAAGAACTATCTGAAGCCATTTTGGTAGTTTTGGCCAACAAACAAGATATACCAGGGTGTATGTCTCTTAAAGAAGTCCATCAAGCTTTAGGGCTTGAAGCACTGAAAAATAGGACTTTTCAAATATTCAAAACGTCTGCTATCAAAGGCGAGGGTTTAGATATGGCAATGGAGTGGTTAGCAAACGCCCTGAAGAACAGAAAATAACACCAATTCATTGAAATTTTCTAGTCTTAAAAATCACCCAACTGTAAATTATTTTAAAAAATTATTTAATTAATTGTAATTAGTTAAGTGTGTCCATACATAATATTTTGTTGTTTGTTTCTAATATTAAGGACCCTATTTTCACATGATATAAAAAAGTTAATACATATGTATATTCATGTTAAAAGGGCTTTCTAAATCATAAAGACGGACTATAATGGATAGAAAGTGTAAAAAAATGTATTAATATTATGTATGGACTTTTGTACCATTATTTGTTTAATCATTTTTATATTTTATGAAAAAAAAAAGTATTTTCATTGCATGTATTTAATCTCAATTACCTGCCCTATGGTAATGCAGTATTTTTATCACAAATTTATAATCAAAACTAAAAATTAAACCCAATAAATGTACCAAAACAATATAGTTTAAATTTGATAAGACAAGCAATGATAAAAATGCCCTATTTTCAAATGTGCGAAAAAATATCAATCATAATTAACTTTTTCAGAATTTTCGTGTTTTATTGAATCTGTCAAAAAAAAAAAATGGAGTAGAAAAAGTAATGAGATGACGTTCTTTTTATAGAGAGCATTTTGTGAAGAAAATGACATACTTCAATGGTTAATAGTTGACATTTAGAAGGATTCAGAACATATAAGTGAGGATTGTAATGATTTCTAATTTTTTGATTATTATAATTAAAATTTGTTTGTATTCTCCTAACTTTTGGTCTAAAATTGGACGGCCTTTTGCAGTTGCAGTTATTATTTTTTATTAATTTAAAGTTTTCGTTTCAATATATTTTTTTTCTTTATCTATCATTACATTTTTGTTATTTATTTGTTTTGGGGGTTTCATGTAACTATAAAAACTTAACCATCGCAAAAGGCTGTGACAACAAACACATTTTAAATTTTAATTACACAACCTTATTCCCCCAAGAAATCACCTAAAAAAACAAAGAAAATAAAGGTTTAAGGAAGATATATTAAATGAGAGATAATTATATCAAATTCGCCAAAATTAAAATATTTGCGGTTATCGCAGAAAGTTGAAAGTATTCGTAAGAAAATGGCGTCTACTGGTTTTTGAATTTATTTAGAACAGTCATTCGCAAATTACATTTAAGGCATGTTAAATATTTAACCTAATTTTTTCATTATTTTAAGTTAATTAAAATACCTCATTCCAAATAATTTATATAACAAATAACTCATAATAAGTATGAGTACTAGGCTTAAGGCAAAAAATACTGGTTAGTAGTCCGTTAATATAGGAAAACTACGTATTCGCATTAATATTTTATAGTAACCCTCTCGAACCATACCCTTAGGAGGTCTTTGTCTATCTATATGTCACCTATCATCCAAAGACGTATGTCACTTATTCTATATATCCTTTTTCTTTGTCATACACAAGACTTATTATTAAAATATATTGACAGGATTGTTAGATTTATATTTTTACAATGAAACTGCAATTTTTGTTCATGGAGTTCATCTAAAGAAACAATTTGAATTAATTTTGTTTAGGAAAGCTATGTTGGTGCCAGTGTAAACATTTAAAATTTGTGCATTATTTGGGTATTCTTTTGCTAAAGAATTTTTAGTTTGTAAATTGTCATATTTCACTTCACGTTTTCTTTTTTCTTTACTTGTGCTTTTCAAAATGAATAACTTTTGTACATTTCAATAAAATGTAAACATTCATACTAATACTATCTATCATTGAACGAAACAAAAATAACTTTCATCTTTAGAGGTGTGGGTGCGAAAAATCAGAAGAAATATTTAATGGCTGAAATACACTTTATATCTTCATAAAATATATTTGACATTATAACAACATTAAAATTTTAATATTTCGCTAGTACAGAAAATATCTATTAACTTAATACATCACTTTTTATTTTCTAAAACTCATTTGGCACTTAAATTCTTGTATAATAATGTATAGTCTAAAAGCCGACCACTAAAAAAAGCCCAAGGCAGTATTTTAGGCTGAATTGAATATAAATCGCACCTTTGCTTCAAAAGTGACACAACTCAAAATTAACATCTTTTAAGTTAATACCATGAATGTGGGCAAACAATCGTTGATCATCAAAATTGTTTACAAATCACATTTATGGTATTAAATCAGAAGGTGTTAATTTCGAGTTGGGTCTCTTTTGAAGAAAGGATGCAAAATAATAGGTCATTAATTAATAGTTATTAATAACCTACCAATTCTGCCCATAAATAGCCATCTCCGAGTCTATTATGCCAAGTCAACATAATTTAACTAATGCTGCAGTCTAGTTCGCCGTGTTTAGGCAAACCCTCCAAAGTGACGGCAACGGCTCGCGTCATGTAAGTCATAGTTCCGTAACAGCCGCTAGGAGCGCTGTCGTAGAAGTGTTGGCAGATGTAAGCGGCGCCGCCACATAATAGTCCACCGGTCCTCGACATCTCCCGAAGTTCCTTTGGTTTGGCGCAACATAAAGTGGCGTCGCCGTCACATTTCATCTAAAATACGACAGAATAAATTTTCACCATATTAGTTTTACTCCAATCGTCTATAACAAATTGAATTTACAAAATTTCAGCAATCGTTCATTTTAAGACAGTTAAGAGTAAATTAGGCTTTCTCCTTAAATGACAATTTGGATATCATTCGTAGACGTGTGTAGTTGTAACGTTCTCTGTCTTTATCCAGTATGGTCTTCTTTATAACTCAGTATATTTTTCAAACGGCATGAGTGTCGTAAAACATCCGAGAAAGTAATAGCCATTACTGTGAGTTGATACTACTACCCATATGGAGTTTTAATTTTTAGCCATGGCTTTCGACTACAGCCTATGGAGATAATACACACTGATCTGTATACAACGAAAATTACACAAATGCATTATTGGTTGCCTAAATCGATTATCAGGACTGGACCGCCTCCTCCGCCCGCCTTTTTTTATTACAATATTTTCTTATCTTGAACTTGCTTCTAAAATTCATTTAAACGAAGCTGTAGCAGATATATTCTGTGATTTGACTAAGATATTTTATTGTAACAATCATACAGTATTATCGTCTCGAATTTAGTACATTTTCTCTAATACAAAGAACTTACAGAATAGGTAAATTATAGTACAATTCAGTAATTTTTTATTTATCCCGTCCCAAATCCTGAAAAAACAAAAAATGATTGTGCCTTTGTGAAGAGTTTAATATAACATCAAAAATGTTAAAAGAATTCCCCATGAAAGGGGTTATAATGTTATCTTAGGTATTTAATGCCATCCTAAGGCTGCAATATCATTTTTAAACGCCTCAATCATACGTACTGGTTTGTTTTAAATAGTAGACGCTCTTTGGTATATATTGTATGACAGTTTAAGAAACAATTCGGCGAAGAAGCTAAAAGCATCACCAACGATTGGAGTTGCATACTAAAATACTACAATTTCTATTGGAAGAAAGAAATAGTCAAAGACTGAAGAAAAACTGGTCAATAGACTTATTATAAGGTTTTTTCACTGGAGAAGTCTCCTTAAGTTAAAATTAATCACCTGGTCATCAAAATAGACCCAGAGAATTGTAAATTTTGACTTAAATAAATAAAAAGCAACATAAGATGACAATTATTAATTACCTGATCATCTAAAAATAGCTCGTTCGCGATGTGCACCAAATATTCCACTTGTATGATGCCTCCTAGCGAAGGTACAATGTTGTATTCGGACACCAAAGTTAATACCATTAACGCTTCTACTATTAACTGTCTATACTCCGGTTGTGGTATAGTATTAAGAACCGTTTCAACAGCCAGAGCGAATTTTAATTCCCCAGGCGTCATCTCCTGAGTCAACGTTTGTGGTAGAACTTTTCCGGCAATATCCAAACCGTGGCACTAAAATTTATAGTTTAATAAATTTCATACCAAATGATTTTTGGGAAGTTTGAGGTTTGCGAAGAAAATTCCGTGAGGCAAAATTGAATAAAAGCAAAAAGGTATTAAAAATAGCTATTTTTTGCTTATAACTTTTCGTAAATAAACTTCCTATTAAAAATAAAAGTCTAGAAAATTTCCTACAAATTTCATTTTTAGGTTATTTCTCTGACAAACGGAGAAGGCTCAAGCGCTAGTTGAAAATTGGGGTATTTAGGTTGTCTCTCTGGCAGTCTCTCTACAATAATGTAAAAATCATAATTATTGTGTAATATGTTTAACTTTTGTTTTGTTTATAGTTTAAAAAAGGAAATTTATTGTACCTTCACTTTAAATAGGAAGGCTATTTACAAAAAGCTGATAGTTTCAGAGTTATAGGTAACAAAAATCTATTTTTTACCATTTTTTTGCATTTTTTCTATGCTGCGTCACGAAATTTTGTTAGCAAACCTCACATTCGAATTCAGCACCTTAAAAATCAAAGATTATCTCACAACTTTTATGGTAAACCACAATTTGACTGGATTATACATGTTGAAGCTTGTTTACCTTTTCTAATATACTCCAAACTCTAGAATAGAAATCTCCAGGAACTCTATTTAGAGCGCCATCTAGTCGTCTCCTTCTTAACCACTGTCCTTGACGATCAGGTTCCACAGTCTCATCTAGTAATTCGGCAGTCAAGCTAATATGGCTTTTCTAAGTGAAATAAAGCGTTAATCATTAATTGCATTATAGTTTATTCAAAAAATCTTACCTTACTTATACGACTGGATTTGTTGGTAACTATTGAAAAGTTGCCTCGACCAACTGCAAGAAAAATATTTATGTAATTTAAGAAGGTCGTAACCTTCAAATATTGACGACAAGAACTTGATAATATTGGCGGTATTCAGAAACTAAAAGCTTCACAGCTAAAATAACATTTTGCCTTTCTATATTGGATGGATAAAGAACTTTTTTTGAAAGTGCTGGAGCTATGTTTACTTTACTGTTTGTATGTAGATAGTGAAAGTATAGAAATAATTTTTTTCCACCTTAGTTTCCGTACTTTTATATTAACTCATTCATATAAATTCGATTTTTTTTCATCAAATTATTTTTTATTAAAAGGCATTAAAAAAAAACTTACCGCTACTAATGGCGAATTCTTTGCCACTGATAATGTGATGTAACAAATTTTTCATTTCAAAAGGGCTCAAATTTAAAAGGTGTTCAGAAGCTTCGTCTCCATCACAAATAAGAGTTCTTGACAGTTCTGTAGCCATAACCTAAAATAATAATAATTATTATTATTATCATTGATAGTTTATAATATAGAAAACGTATTAAACAAAATTACCTGAATTATAAGGCCAACTCTCAATCTTAACATTTCCAAAAACAGCTGAGGCTCGGTTCTGATGAACATCGCTAAGTAGGATAACAGTTCTTGAGTCAACATGGCTGTACTATCGTCTTCTCCATACGCCTCATGTATCAACAATCTTAGGTCGTTTTCGGGCAAAGGAGCAGTAATTGTATGCTCATTGTTAGGAGGCATGCCTAAAAAGTTAATAAGTTAACAAACGTGTTTATTTACTAGTATATATAGTACATTTTTTACTTAAAATTAAATAATATTTAACCTCGATAATAGTCTAGGAAGAGACTGAAAAAATAGAAGAAGCAGATTATAAATTATAGGATTTTAATTAATAAACACCAAACTAAGCAGGATTTAATCTGGTTTAACGCAGATTTAAAAATAACGGCCCTAATTTATTGTAGTAAGTGCAAACAAAAGCAACCCTACTTATTGTCAAAATTGAGAGCTTTTTCTATAACAATAATTAAGGTTGCCTTTGTTTGTATTTTTCAAAAATGTAGCACCTGCTTAAAAACCGGAGTGAATCGTGACTAGTCTGATATTTAGCAATTAAGAGGCAACCATTTTTTTCTTTCTTTCTAGCCTCTTCAATTTTTCACTGCTGACTCTCAATCTATAAGAAGTGAAGAAGTTGTTTAGTATTAAACAATTAAAGTGGACTGTAATATATTTATTGTTACGTGAATTAAAATAAAATGCTACTAGAATCTGTAACTTAATTTAATTTTAATGATGATACATAAAAAAAGAATACTCAATGAATAATGATGGTGGAATTCATAATCGCCATCACACCTCTAGGAAACCCGATATTCACGACCCAAATTTTGCAAGCGGTGTTGCCAAGTGATATAAAAATACAAAATGTGCAAATGAGGCCGAACCACAAATAATTATTATTTAAAAAGACTCGTCACTTACCTACAGTAATCTGTTTCTGCCTTACTAACAAATCCGTCACAGATTTAGCCAAGTCTTCCACTCTTTTTCCCAGCATACCCGCAGTGTGTCTGACCAGGCCCCACATTTTTTGATGGCAAGCTTTTTCATATAGACCTTTCAGCAAATCTTTTACCGTAACGACTCTGCCGAATTCCAGCATGCCGGTATTAAAGTCTAAACCTTTGGTGACTACCAGGTATTGTAAAATGTCGCCCTGTTCGTCCAGCGATTCGGATTCTCTCAACATTGCGAATAGTTCGTCTACCTAAATAATTTCAGTTCGTTAATTATCTTAACTAAAACTTAAACATTTATATTGTATTAAAGTAACATAAAAAAAGTCCCACATAAAATAATTTTATTCAATAAATATGACAAGTTGTTTCGGCCTTAGGCCATTATCAGGTCTGAAATGTATAATACAATCTTATTATAAACAGAAACTTCTCCAAATACATTAAACAAAATAATGAAGAGGCATAGAGTAACTAACTACAAAATGTGAGAAAAAGATGACAATAACATAACTATTTTATATATATATTAACTTTAGGTATAAGGAATTCTTAATAAAAATGGAATACTTCTACTGGTGATATAAATAAAACATGAAATTTAAGGGTGCTAATCTTGAATCACCTTGTATACTAATAAGCATTGTAATGAAGTCAATTTTCATTACTATATTTCGGCCTATTCCGGATATAAATTTTAATTTTTATTTTATTTTAACTTCATGGGTAGACCCTATATATCAAATTTTGTTTCATTTAAATTCGCGTATTATACCTGAGTAACGATAGCGCGCGCGATCCCCGCACACCGAGTGGGGAGCCAGCCTGCTTGGGCATAGAGACTGGAATTCAGCATTGAGTATTAAAATCATTCATTCAAAATCATTTGACTAGCTTGATTTCATTTTTCCGACCTCGTTAAGTCTGCTTCGTTATACGCCGTAATATCATTGCCGAGACCGTAGTTAGGTACACCGAATTCATGTTTATGTTTTTTTTTTCTGAGGTCGGTTCTTGAGCTAAAAGTTCGAATACCAGTTTTATTTGATTAAATTATTCCGTTTTCGATTTTATTTAATAGAAATAATAATTGACTTTAGATTTTCGTTAAAAATATTTTGATTTTCAGATAAATTATTTAGTTTTGATTTTATTTAGAAACATTGGAAATTAGTTTTGGTTATTAGGAAGTAGAAATTTTGTTTCTATTTTATTAATTACTTTATTTTTATTGCGACCGTGGATTGCGTTTCTATTTTAGAGTAATAGTAAACCTAATTTCAAATTAAATTCCGTATACAGATAATTACTTAATTTTCATTGCGACCGTGGTTGTTGTTTCTATTTTTAAGTAATAATAAATTTAAATTAAATTCCGTATATAGTTAATTACTTAACTTTTACTACGACCATAAATTTTGTTTCTATTTATTCACAGTCTGGTTTAACCTTTTTTTATTTATGTTTCTTTACTTGGGAATAGAATTAGTTCGAAAGTTGGAAAGTTGAAATAGTATCATTTTTCATGTTGAGTGGACTGGTTTTGGCGAGAAAGCTCACATGGGATTAGATACTATCCCGGTTTTAGATTTTTTTTTAGATTAACCCCTAACCGTGATTAACATATTAGTGTTTTTCTTATGTTTGAGAGGGCTGGTTTTGGCGAGTACACTCATCATAGGATTGAATACTAACCCGGTTTTTGATTATTTTTTTAGTTACCTCCGCGCCGTGATTAAAATGATAGTATCATTTTTATGTTGAGCGGGCTGGTTTTGGTGAGTACACTCCTCATAGGATTGATACTATCCCGTTTTCTTATCATTTATCTATTCCCTATTCACTAACACAAGGAGGTTTGTTTCACTTTCAATACCGACTAGATAGTTAACCAGATAACTTTTTCTACGACCGTGATTTTATTTCTGCTTTTACGAAACAAAATATTTAGGTTCAATCTTTTTGCCGATTTAACAGTTAACTGGCTAACTTTTGCTACGACCGCAATTATTTGCCATTTTTCTTCTTTAACTGAAATAGTAATTTTGGTTTCGTTTTGGCTCAACCACCGAACCGACAATTTATTAATTAGTTCTATTGCCACCGAGCATCTTCCTTTTAATTTTAATTATACCGTCTGATTGAGACTAATCAAAGTTCACTACTGGCCGATCTGTTTGTTTTTCTTTTTGTTCAGGGTTTTAAAAATACGAGCGAGGGTGGGCGTTGAAATATTACTTACAAATTATTTATTGTAAATAGTTAAATTCAATATATGTGTCAACGTTACCTTCACTATTACTGAGGTTACTGATCCCTAATTTACTTCCCCCTTTATTTCAGCAGTGAGAAATTCTTTATCACCACAAGTAACGATTAAAGCCCGTTACTTGTGGTTACTTATTACCTGTGTCTGAGTGACCAACGACCCCTGGAATTTTTCATCTCCATCTGTGCTACCCGAGTACTTTCGACACCGTTTCGAAAGTTTGTGGAGTAAACCACACATAAAATCTGGCGCCCGAGAGCCGTCCCGTCAACAGACGTCATTTTCAAGTAATCGTTTTCTCTGAGGCGAGAAAACCCCTTACAACATAGAATAAAAACGTTACTAAACAAAAGTGTAGTACATGATATTAAAAAACTCATGTAAGTAAAGAAAATAATTGTTCCATAGTATGGAATTGGCTACAGGGCGTTGATTTACTTACGATTTTTATACAAAAATGTCAATTTCTTTTAGAGTACCCTAGATTAGCCATATATTAGAAGAATGGAAAAAATGTGAGTAATCTAAATATAATGTATTAAACTGGTAGTTTGATTTAAAAAAACAAATGTTTAGTTCGTACCTGAGTCATGTAAAACCATGCATATCTCTATGTAATTTTAAAATGTGGCCCTCAAGCCACCCTGGCTTTTGTTAATACATTTTTTTTAATATCTCTTATAACATATCAAACTTTTTCACAAGATTGGTATATTAGACAAATTCCGGATGAAAAGGATTTTAATTTTCTTAAATTTATATTGAATTATTAAGCTACACTTAAGTAAAAATTTTTGTATGTTTTGTTTTATTTTCCAAGAAACTTTTATATGAGTCGTTCATGCCAGAGTTGTTTATTCCTTTTCGGTACCACCATCTAAAGATTAGGCAGTTATGCCTAGTAGATACAAGTAAAGTACTATAATCTACATTTATTGACTATTAATAAATTGTTGTTTAGGTAACTCTGGCAAAAACCACTCAATTTTTTAACCCACAATTTTAAGCCTGATGATGGCCCAGCAACCGGATGTAGGCAAATAAGTACCTATGTTTCTTGTTGCCAATTTTTTTGCCGAACAAAATCGTTGGTTCAATCTCAGACAGGACAATTCACGTTACTGTCTTCACCGAAGAAGCTTTGGAAAATCGTCAATCAGTTTAATGAGTTTCAATCAACAAACTTACCTCCGTGTCTGCATATTGCGTTTCAGATATATTCCTGTGTCTAGAAATATTAACCACAGGTTTAAGTCGCTTTTCTGGCGAGGGTAATTTTGCTGGTTGCTCTTTGGCACTATCCAATACATCTAACGAAGATGGGGAAAAATATAACGAACCTCTTCTATCTAAAGGACTGCCGATGTTTCCTTCCATTCCCAAAGTTTCGGCTGTAAAATAAAGTGTATTATACAATAATTTGAGTTTTTTTAAGACTTACAATCAACGTTGATAGATCTAGTTTTTTTAACAGCACCTCTGACGGACATTTTTCGAATTAGATGCCTGTTTTTAGGCGCAACGCGATTTACCGTTAACAGTGAATATTTGGTGGATAAAGATTTGACTGAATGCTCCTCCATGTATTGTTGGACTTGCGGATGCAACTCTGAAAACATTAAAAAGAAAATTACAATAAGCAATAAAAATTGAGGAATGATTTGGTACTCACTATCGGGAAGTCCATCTTCATGACAACCCAAAAAGCTCAGGTTTGTTATACAACTGGTGCTCAAAAAATCGTTGAGATTTCCCAGTGTAACTCTAGTGCCGTTTATATAACCAGATTTAAGCTTTTTCATTGTTGTAATCATTGCTAAGGGCAATTTTCCATCCTCTAAATAAATGAGGAAATATTTGATCAAGATTATCATTATGCTGACCTTATAAAGATAAAACTACAATACTAATTTTAAATAAATATTTGATAGAAAATTTAGTATCTTGATTTAATTTGTTTGGAAAAATAATTTCGTTAAAATTTGTATTGAAGTAGTATTTATCTTTAATTTGTCAAATTATAAATTATATTAAGTAGTTGCATGCTTGTTAAGAACTAGTCGAAATATACAGAGCGAATCTTAAGTTGACTTTTTTTTTAAACCATGTATATAAGTTGTTAAAATAAACATCTTTTCAAAAATAAGAAAGATACAGAATTAAAAAAATCGAAATCCGAGCCTAGAATTGTGTATGAAAAGTTAAGCTAAATAATAAGTCTGTTAATGTTTTTATCTTTTTTTTTTTATTTTTTTAATTATTCAGTAAAATAAAATCATTCATTACCTAAATGACTTTTGGTAATCACAACCGAAATGGTAGGTCTGCCGAGCATATTTCTCCAACTCATAGTTAAGAACGCCAAATGGGCCCTGACCTTATCGGCCAACAGGGCTATGTCATAGCTCGTGTAGTATTCTTCCGGATCGAAATTCTAAACGAAACCAAACCATGTATAAACATGCAATACATCACAATTTATCATTCTTTGGCATAGGAAAACATTAAATTTTAGCAAAAAAAAAAAACCGATAGTCATAATGAGACCCAGAGCAACAAAAGAGGAAGTTAGTCATTTTAATTTTAAAATTCGACACCGCGCGTTTTGATGATTAACTAAAACTAAATTGACATATGTCATTTCAGCCAAATGATAGATACTTATCCGATTAAATATAACTGATAGAACCTGCAATGATTATACACACAGATATGTGTTATTACAATATAATTCATTAGTTTTACTCGTAAAATTACCAGAAACTATAAAATAGTATAATTAACATACTGCTAAATGACATTTAATATAATTGACAGAAAAATACCGGCGAGCAATATAACTGACATATTAGATACAAGTGCAGCATTGAACATTCTTGTAAAAGATGTAACCAATACTGTCAAAACAAAACTAACATATTTTTTATGTAAAAGGTGTATTTGTTCCCTACATTCCACTTTAAAACAGTTTTTAAGGTAAACAAAAATTTATATTTAGTAGATTAATAATAATAATACACCCCATTACAAGTGAATTTTAACCCCAAAAGATGAGCTTGTCTGGGGAAAGGCTGGCTATTATTATTTGTCGTGGCGTTCCAGGACGACTTAAAGATGACTGATGATGCCATTAAACTTACAGGTGAGGAAAACCCGAAAATCCCCACCCACCATAATCATCAATAAGACTATTAGTTCCATGAATATGAAGTACGTAAAGATATAGGAAATATTAGTGAAGAAAAGAACGAAATTATAAGCATCATATGAGGCACAATTAATAAGATAGGACAATCTAACGGTGGCTACGTGAAATACCAATTACATCGTTCACGAGAAAGGCTCTCTCACTCTTACTCACATATCGTTGTATACACTGATATTCCTATAGTGATAGTCTCGCCTGTTTTGGTGGTCTATTGACCTACAATTAAGTTATTTATTGTTTCGGCCTTTACTTGATGAAAATCCATTTAATTTTGAAAGAGTAAAACCAAATTTGGCAGATTTTCACACTTTTATTTTAAAAATAAAAATTAAAAAAAAAAAAAAAAAAAAAAAAAAAAAACACTAACATGACATATGTTTCGAAGTACAACTTCTTTTTCAAATGTGACTATTTACAATTCGGTATCCAATATATATACGAAATAATTTAACAAAACAAAGTACTTAAGAAAACATCAATAACATTACAAAATAAACTAACTATTTAAAGTAAATAAGGGTACTTAGGTAATTATAATATCCATCAAATAACAATAAGATAGCCCATTACCGGGATTATCTCTCAGAAAACTGGAAAGGAGATTTAATACGGGTGAATTATTAATATCTAATTGATCATTTAGTAAGTTATCTGAATTTTTAAATCTATTTATTTCAAGTGTTTCTAAATGGTTTAATTTAAGGCTCTTATTTTCTACATGTAAAATTTCAAAGTTGTCTGTAAAAGAATGATTTTCAGCTAAAATATGATTTGAGTAAGTAGAATTATTTTTGTTTTTTGTATAGCTATTATAATGTTCGGAATAGCGTTTTTTGAAAGTACGGCCTGTTTGACCAATATACAATTTTGGACAACTACCACAATTTAATTTATATACCCCCGATTTATTATTAGGATTAATTTTACCCTTATTGTTTTTAATATACTTCCCAAGCGTATTATTGGTTTTAAAAGCTACGTTAATATTTTGGTTTTTTAAATATGATGATACCTTTTCACTAGGAGCTCCTATATATGTAAGACTCTTATATCTGCAATTTGGATCTTTAATTATGGGATAAACTTGTTGAATAGCCTGTTTAAAAAGTTTTTTCTCTAAAATGTTATCTACTAACTTTGAATTAAAATTATTATTTACTGCGATTTGTTTAATGATATTTAATTCTTTTGTGAAGTTCTCTTTGGTAAGGAAAAAATTTTACATGTAGAAAATAAGAGCCTTAAATTAAACCATTTAGAAACACTTGAAATAAATAGATTTAAAAATTCAGATAACTTACTAAATGATCAATTAGATATTAATAATTCACCCTTATTAAATCTCTTTGCCAGTTTTCTGTGAGATAATCCCGGTAATGGGCTATCTTATTGTTATTTGATGGATATTATAATACCCTAAGTACCCTTATTTACTTTAAATAGTTAGTTTATTTTGTAATGTTATTGATGTTTTCTTAAGTACTTTGTTTTGTTAAATTATTTCGTATATATATTGGATACCGAATTGTAAATAGTCACATTTGAAAAAGAAGCAGTACTTCGTTTTTTTTTTTTTTTTTTTTTTTTTTTTTTTTTTTTTTTTTTTTTAAATTTTTATTTTTAAAATCTGCCAAATTTGGTTTTACTCTTTCAAAACTCAAAACTACAATTAAGTATTAAGGGCGGATTGTATCGCAGCTATTTACCTACTGATTTCACATAACCACATTATAAGCAACTAGCAAAAGTTTAGCTGGTTTTTCTAACCACTCTATTTATGTTGGTTGAAGAAGAGTTCGGTCACAGAACAGTCATTGCAAAATAGTGTTTTAAATATTTGACATCCGTTATTTTGATTTAAGTTTTAATAATTTTTAAATAAGAATAAACAACACGAATTGGACAAAACTAGTACAATGTCCTGAGAAAACGAAACCTTGTACAATATGAATAATTTGTATGGTTGGTCTTTTTGTAAAAATTTGACCAAAATATCTACGATGAACAACAAAATTATAACCATGACAGCTGACAGCAAATGCTATATTAAAATTATCAAAAAATCTGATGTGTCCAACACATGACTTTTCTATTTTAAAACACAAAATACGTTTTTGATTGTACAGTGCTACTGTAGTAAAAACAAAATATGCAATAAGATTTATTAAGGCAGCAATGTCAGTTACAAATTTTTTGGCTAAAAATAAAATTAATTTGTTGCCTTATAAAAAAATTAAGACTCCCATTAAGAAAAACGCAAAGAATAAGTGTTTTTCTTAAATATAATTCTAAAAATTGCAATATAAACTGTGACAGATGTTTTAATTCATGTCATTCTTAAGCTCTGTAAAATATTTCCACTTCCATATTAATATGAGGCAGTAGTAGTATTAGGTATAATGCCACACTAAAAAAAAAATTGCTCGAATTGAACATATTAGTACTTGAAAATCTGACAAGAACTTTTTGTTATTTGTTGGAAAATAACTTTTATGTACAGTGAAGTCCAAAAGCTATAAAAAAAAAATAAATGACTTATTTAGAGAATGAACATAAATATATTAAAAGGTATTTAAAAAAAAAAAAAATAAAAATTATCTTATCAATTTTTTTTAAATATGTATATGTAATGAAAGTCCACTTATTTAGCACTTACGAACCACACTGTACAAAGCCTTTCATATTTTTGTTGTTGCTATTGTACCTAAATGTATTCTTCTGGAAACAACTGTCAATAAAGGCCTTCCCAGCATATTCTGCCAGCTCGACTTTAAAAAATTTATTTCACTCTTGATCATGTCAATCATCAATTCATAGTCGGTGGCTATGTAATTTTGGGACATGTCAGCAAACTAAACCATCAAAAGTAATAATAAAACTTCAATGTCAATTCAGAGGAAAAGTAGAGTTGTAGAAAAACATGTAAAGAATTTATCAAGATTTAAATAATAGTTTGTCAAACATACCCAACTCCATTGAAAATTCATTTCAATGACGGTTTTATATTTAAGGATTTACATGTTGGTAAATTTAAATGATATATCTTATTTTTTTATGAAAGAAAATAAAAATTTCTGAATTATTTATTGTTATTATTTGAATAACAATAAATAATTCTGTGGGAAAATAATATTAAAACATGTTAGGAGAAGGAAACTTACCTGGGGTGTAAAAGCGAAAATTTTGTCTCCCAAAGAATATAATTTACTGGTAGAAAGAATTCCAACATCTCTTGATTTTCTTCCAGATAGGCCAAGTTTTTTATTACGACCTTAAAATGAAAAGGTCGATTTAAATCTTTTAATAAAATTGGAATTTTTTGTACAGAAAAACTTTTTTAAAAAAAATGGAGAAGGAAACTTATTTATAAAATTGTTATGAAATGTACATAATATGACGTTTCGTTTTAATCATAAGGTTTAGAATATAGCAATATTTGGAAACAATAAAAGAAACTGCCTATATATTATTTAAATATGAAGCATTACTTTTATAAACTAAATTATTAAATCCAGGTTCGTTTCTAACCTTGTAGGTAAAGTATTTACAAATAAATTAGGTTAAACCAATAATAGAGACTGACATCAAAAACAACTTTTATTTGAAAAATTTTCTTCAAAATTCGAATTTTACACTTTGTCAAATTTCTCGAATACGGACCATTTTAGGTAAATTATGTATAGGACAAAAATTATAGATAATAATATAACAATCAACTTTTATTTGAAGAATTTTTTTCTCCGGGCGTAAGTAACAGATATATTCCATAAAATAGAAAAACGATCCCCTATAAAGTGCCCCCCCATGTTTCGACTATGCCTACAATCTAATCAGCTTTGGTTTTTTCTCTGTATTCGATTATACAGACATGCATAAAATAGTCAAAACAGATTCAGGGGACCCCAAAACGAAAAAATCCGTCGAAAAAAACAATAATTCCTATACTTTCCATATCTGCATACAGACAGGAAAGTAAAATATGGTGGCAACATTTTCTAAAGCCAGGATCTTAGACTAAAATATTTTGTAACTGTTTCCAAATTTTAGCTATTAAACTTTATATTATTAATTTTTTGGACACAGCACATTCACTAATTTTAATCATTTTTTTGATAAAGAATGAAATCAATTCAGTGAGTTTACCTAAATAAGTATATAAATGTGACAAAACTCTTGCAGGCTGGACTTCAATAGGTGCTGCTTCAGAAATTGTCTGTACCTTGATGTCATGCTCAGCCAATCTATCCTTAATTTCGACATCCTCTGCTAAAATTACCACTTGAACCACTACATCAGGCTTCTTTTCAGAGCCTAGCCTTCTGTTTAAGGGGTCCAGTTCACCTGGAGCCAAGAAACCCTGGAATATTCCAAAAAAAATAAGTAAAAAATAATAATTATGGCAACATATTTACTTCTTGAAGTAGTTTTCCCACAATATATAAAGACTGAGACCAAAGATGAGGACAGTGACCTAATGGAATTCTTTTTTGGCTTCCTGGGTCTTTATATTCAGCCCCTACAAATTCTGCTGGTACAGAGTAGAGTTCAGGTACTAATTTTAAACCATCTTCAGTACGTATCATAATCTATATAAAATGAGGAAAAAATTAATTATTCTTTTATAAGATTTGATGTTGTAAAATTTGTTTACTTCTTCAAGTTGTTTGGTATATTGAGCTGCAATTTCTTTGTTGCCCCTGAAGCAGTTGTCCAAAATCATATAGCAAAAAAACAAAGGCCATTCACACTCTATATTCTCAAACATTCTGAGTTCCCAAGGTTCATAATACAGTCTGGTAGGGTCCTAAAATATTACTTCATTAAAAAGAGAAATTAATATAAAGAATATATAACTTTACTTCTTTAGGTGTTCTGTATCCATCTCGCAAAAATCTTCTAAACCCATAACTTCCTTGTAATTTATCAATAATACATTCTCTTGTATATTTAATAAGCCCAGGATCATCTACTGCAAAAGCTGGAAAGCTTATTACAGATAACAAACCGCTGTCAATTTCTTTTGAACTAGATTCTCTTGGTAACATTGACTAAAAATTAAGACACTTTTTTAAATCTTATGTAGGGATATTGTGTTTTAATATATACCTTATCTATCAGTCAAAACACAATTATTCCTTTCTATAAAAAGAATGGCATTTCTTTAACACACTGTAATATAATTTGAAAACTTGCCTGTAAAACTGCCTGACATTTTTGTGCTTCATCAGCCAAAACATGGATCACGCTGTAAGGTCCTCCTCTAGCCCCAAACAAATCCAACTCGTTCATGGCTTCAAGGGCTGCTTTAGCCATACCAATAGAACTTGCATTTAATTCTGGTAAACCATGATTTGTTTTATCTCCCCTTTCCCAAATACCATAGTCTGGTGTACAATAAGCACATTCAATATAAAATACTAAATTTTGAATGAAAGCTACCTCATCTAAGTTGAATACTATTTGTAAACCTGAAGCTGTCATTTGTGCTAAAAGAAGTATGTATAATGAAATTGCATCTATTTGTAAATGGCCCCATTCGCTATCTCCTACTACTATCTGACCAGTAAGCGAAGAGTATTTAGCATGTAAGGAATCAAGAGGATTTTGGGTTTGTTTGAATCTTTCTACTTTTTCTTTCTGCTGCATCATAGACATCAGTAAACCTCTCATTAATTTTACACAAGATTGTTCAAGTTCGTAAGTTTTAGCTCGGTCTTCATCTTGGTCGGCGATTTTCTTGTAAGCCATGGATAGGCCCCAAACTGATAGCACGCAATAGACATTATCCCTAATCCAAGCATGGCTATTTTCTTGACTTGCTGGAAATAACCCAGTGACGGGATGTTGATGTTCCATAATTACCTTGTGAACTAATCGTTGGTAGTAATCTAAACGTACCCCTGAATTACTACGGCTCCGCATTTTTGCTAAATAGTTATAAATATATAAATAGTTCTTAAAATATTTTAAATTTCAATATCATAACAAATCAAGCAACCAAGGTGACTTTTGACTTTGACGTTGTTCGGGAATTTTTCAAAAAAATCAGTTGGACATCCTGCTAGAAATTTGACCACAGAATTAGGCATTCCAAACAGAATGGTTGGCCGTTGGGCGAAGATAGGTTATTTTTTATCTCACTCGGGAGTATTTAAAATAGCCAGTTTCTATTTCACATTGTTATTGTCTGATCCACCAGCTTGTGGATTGAACAATAACAATGTGAAACAGAAAATGGTTATTATAAATAGTCCCGAGTGAGATGAACAATAAAAATGGCTGCGCCCATCGAGTCGCACCTTGTTCTAACATGTTCTAACATGTATATTGGCATTCTACCCCCCTCCAGTTCATTGGGTCCACCCAGTCCACCCAATTTCTATTGATACAACATGAACTCCACTTCAGAATAAGTTCGGGATCGGCTCCGCGAGCGACGCTAATATCGGACCATACCCCTAAACTGTCAATTTGTCCTGCATCATTTGTCATTTTTTATATTCAACAACTTGTCAATTTTTGATTATTTTTAAGTCAAGTATCAAATACAAAAAATGGCAGCGGAAATTAAACCAGCAACTCAATCAAATGAAAGGTTTTGCACAACGAAAAAACCTATTCTGTTGTCAAAATTAGATGCCTGCAGTGATGAAATCAATGCCGCAGTTATTATACCTGGCGAAGAAGGAATTATCAGTGTTTCTGACGATAAGTACGTAAAAAGTAAAATTCTTGTTTTTTCTATTAGTGTTATCGGATTTTATTTAATTTAGGACTGTTCGAGTATGGTTAAAAAGAGACTCCGGTCAATACTGGCCTAGCATTTGCCAGTACATGCCTAGTGGGACCACTTCTATATATTACACTGTTGAAACTAGGGAATTATTTATTGGACAAGAAAATGGCACTGTATCCGAGTTTGCTCTAGCATCGGACTTTAACAGAATGATGCCGGTTAGAGAGTATTTGGCCCATCAAGCTAGAGTTACCGAAATAATATTTGCTATTAACTGTGAATGGGTAATCAGTGTAGGCAGAGATAAGGTATTTTCTTATAATTGTTCGCAGACTGGGAGGAATATTGGTACTTTTAATGCAGAGGCATGGTGCACTGCTTTGCAGTATCCTTTTAAAAATTCAAAATCAAATATATTTTTGTATAAATCTTTTTTTTTTTTTTCATATTATTATTTTTCTATTTTTTCTGGTACGCAAGAGTTCTGAACAATTTAATAAATAGCAACTTGTATTTTATACCGTTCTTTTGTTATTAAGGTAATGTATGTATGTATTTTTCATATTAGAGTGACCAAACTTGATATAAAGAAAATAGTAGTAGTGTACTATAGATTTAATAATATCCAGTTTATTAAAATATATAAAGATAAATATTTCAATGGACTATAACAACGCATCCGAATTTTTAGTCCTGTAGAAACAATCAATAATAAAAATAACATCATAACATTATCTGTCTAATTTTGCTAAAGTACTTTGTAGATGGTAAAGTTTTCTTTGGACTACTACAAACAAATTGACTTATAGCTTGAGCTAAAATCTAATACTTTTTTCACTTGTTTAATAAATAACTATTATATTTGAGCCTGTTTTAATTTTCCTTAACTGCAACACTAGATTTGATGCACAAACAAAACATGCTTTTGTTGGAGACTACTCTGGCCAAATAACCATGTTAAAGCTGGACAACAATGGTGTCACAGTGATAACAACTTTAAAGGGTCATTCAGGATCAATCCGTTCATTATCTTGGGATAGTGATAGGCAAATGTTGTTCAGTGGATCCTTTGACCATACAGTTATTGTATGGGACATAGGGGGACAGCAGGGAAATGCTTATGAGTTACAAGGACATCACAACAAAGTATGTTGGAAGCTAGAAAACATTTATTTTGCCAAAAAATCGTTTATAAAGTATGTCTGAAAAAAATAAATACAAATGAGATTTGTATTTATTCATTTTAGAAAAAAAAAAAAAAAAAAAGTTCTGCTCCACATAGAAATCAATTATATTATATTCTTTCGTGAGTTTCACACCATTTTATTGATTATAACAATTTTCCAAGTTATATAAAGGGTTCTAAGGCTCTAAATCAATTTAAAACTCATTTAATTAAAAAATAGTTTAATTTTAATTGTATCTTATAGTTTGTATTGTTTTTTGTATTTTTTCTTTTCATACCATCTATTTTACTCATGTAAATTTAATTTTTGTATGAATTTCATTATTGTATAAATTTTTTGTATATTAGGTTGTATCCTAATTTCAAATAAAGATTATTATTAATAATCAAAATTATAAAATATTTAGTGATAATATAGGGAATATCAAAAATATTGATTTATACTGAAGAGTAAAGTACTTTTAAATCTAATTACAGAACAAAATGTATCTGAAAATGTTGATAGGAATTGAAAATTATGTCTTAAGTTTAGATTCATGGCTTTCTAATAATTTCAAGTAAAAAAAATATTTTCCCTGTAATATTTTACAAATCATTGATTATTGTTCTATATTATGTTGCAGAACTTTTTATGAAGAATAATTTTTTTGGAAAATTAATAATAAATAAATTTTTCATTTGTTAAAAACTCAGACATACTATACTATGTTATTAACAAAGAAATACATATGTCGATATTTGTTTAGTATGTTCATCTACAAAACTGTTTGAACAACCTTAAATACATAATATTATGAACAAATGTGGCGTGAGTGCAACATTATGAAAACTAGAATAGTTCTGAGTGGTAAACTTATTAGAGAAATTAGAGAAACTTTCGAAAGAATTCTGGGCGGAATTCCGCATTAATTTACCCCTCAAATAGTTCATGAAGTACTCTTTATCTCTCACCCCTTCATAAATGCAATTATATTAATCCCGTTCTTATTTAAAGGTATCTAGTCTCTACTATTCAAACAGTACTAAACAGTTAATAAGCGCCGGCGAAGACGGTGTCCTAGTTTTCTGGGACATGGCGGAATCTCGACAAGAAACCCCAGAATGGATCGAATCAGATCTTTGTCAACTCTGCGGTAGACCATTTTTCTGGAATCTCCGCGCTATGATGGACCAAAGACAATTAGGACTGCGCCAACACCATTGTCGCCACTGCGGCAAGGCCATATGCGAAAAATGCTCGACAGGCAGGGTGACTATTCCCTCCATGGGATTTGAATTCGCTGTTAGGGTTTGCGAACCATGCCATATTTTGCTTAAAGATAAGGAGTAAGTATTGTCAAGGTTAATTTTGATATTACGTTTTTAAAAGTCATCAGTAGGAGAAACCCCAATTTTCCATGTGTGTTATATTGAATTTATTTTGTCTAATACACCTTCACACTTACTGACTTAACCCAAATGTACAATTATTCAGTTATCAAATTACCATTGGAATTTCATTTCAATATTGAGATAATTTTCATGTTTTTTATTGAATGTAGTTAAAAACAAAAAAATATTGATATTTATTTTTTTTTTTATTTGAGCATAAGTTCAGTAAATATTAAATATATATTTAGCTCCATTATCTGTTTCCTTATCAACAATGCTAATAAAATAAAATTAACAAGTCCTTGGTTAATTAGCAAAACAGTAAACATTTGAATAAGTTATTATCAATATTGTGTTGTAAAAGGGCAATTTTATACAATAAAAAGTTATGATAAATGTTTTTTTTGCAGTAAAATTATCAAATCCGCATTCACAAAGCATTTTTAAATAATTACCTGTATCAACTAGAAACATCAAAAACTTGAAAAGTACTAATAACTTAACTAAAACGTTGTCACACGAACTGTAAAGTAGTTCTAACATTTCTCAAACATTTGTATACCCATTACCATAGTGGAAACGCCATTGTTTGTTATGCTTAGAAATATATTAAAGGCGTGATTTTTTTTAGGCGACCGTCTTTAGCAACCTTCCATGATGCGAAGCACAGCGTTGTCGCGATGAGTGTAGATGAAACAAATAAAAGGCTGGTTACTGTTGGACAAGACCGTTTGATAAAAATTTGGGATATAACGGCTTTGCTTTGAAGTTCAATTTAAACTAAAGATTAAAAAAATATATTCTAATGTGATTGAACAAATTTGTTTCATAAGAAAAAGTTAATTGCTATCTTTGTTAAAATTACATGTTTACATTAATGTATAGGTTCTATTTAAAAACAAATCGTATATGTATTATAATTATACTCTAGCTATTGTTTCATTTATTTCATGAATAAATTGTTTATGAGTACTATTATGAACGTGTTTATTTTAAATTATGATTAGCAGACTCTTATTTTTGCAGAACTGACTTTTTATGGACATCACAAGAATATTGCCAAAAGGAGTAAATATTATTTTTCTACTGTCAGTGTGGATTAGAAAAACCACATGTGATCTCTGCCTTACTAAATTGAGACCTATACTAGATTAATAAGTTTTTTAAATGTCAAATCAAAGAGTTCTAAATCGAGAATTTGATTGCAAATAAAACAGTCTTCAACAATATCCGTATCACACGTGATCTAATAAAACAAGAAATAGAAAAAAAAATTGTACTATTGTGAGAGATTAATCCACCTTTCCCGCTACTCTTCCTAAAATTAAAATTTACACACTATGTAGTAATACTAAATCTTGTGTGGCAATTTTAGGCTTATAGAAAGTTAAAAAATATGCTTGTTTCTTTAGATGTATCCTTATGTGATAAGTTTTCGTTTAGACAGATTTTTACAAGTGGAATATTATTCTGTCCCTGAAATCCGTATGAGTTTCCATTTATTTTATTTTTAATTCACTGAATAACTCACATTTATCTCCTAAATTAAGTTAATTATCAAAAGGTATTACAACAAACTTAAATATTAAAAAAAAATCTAGCAACTTTCAGTAAAATCTGCAAAAGGTTGAACTTTTTGCGACTCTGCTTTTAAAATGGTAAGAGTAAATGTTAATAAGGTAAGGTCATTAACATATCTAGTGTGGTCTAAAATAACATATCTATATACAATAGTTTTTATATCTTTTATAAAAGTTGTTAAAATCCCTTTGCAAAGTTGTATAATTGCAATTATGGGTTTCATATTACGTTATTTCTGAAACAAGATTGGTCTTAAATTGTGTTCATAATATCAAAATTGTTTTGACTGCAGATTATATAGAATTTCGACTTACCATTACAAAAATTAATTTATAACACATTTGGGCTAGACCGGTTATGATCAGTGGGCACTTGCAATGCAATAATGGCCGCGCACAGGGCTTCCCGCTTTTCATCTTGTTTACATACATGTGAGCAATCTGTATTTTTTATAACATCATTGGTCTCACTGTTAAACTAATGCATGGATACCAACGCTTGGATTTTATATTACCAAACAAAATAAAGGTTAATGAATTCGTTAACAATTTTTGTATACTATCTTTTTTTACAAAAATTATTGTAAATGTATATTTATGTTGTTCTGTTCTATCAAAGCAGACATAACATCAACGAGATTTGTAGAAGAAATAGTTATTCAATAAATATTTTTAGGAAATTAATTTCCCGTAGGTTGGCAAATTAATTTTGTAAATTTAAAAAAATAGTTGGCGCCGTCATCTGTCATGTTAAATTAAACTATTTGTTGAATGTTTATGTGTACACTTTATAATTATCATGCTATTAAAATAAGTTATAAATATTTTTGATAATAGGCAGAGGAAATTCAATTTCTTGAATTTTTCTGCCTCTTTAGAAAAGCAAAATTTTGGAAAGGAACTTAACCTTAAAAAATTAGACGCTGTCAAATAAAAAAACATTTGATTAACATTTTGGTAAAAATGGTTTTTTATAACTAAAAACATCAGCACGCAAAATGTGGCCCCTGCTACTTGATATGACTAAAGAAGAGTCAATTCAGAACTTAAGGAACTTGGGTAAATCAAGGTTTGTTGCTAATTTGGCTTTGTAATTACCAGTACATATTTTAGAACTAGAAGCATATTCCAATTTAGTTTCGGCTCTAAGGGCCCAAGGCCCTCTTAATCCGGATAAGCGTAAATTATTGAAAGATACAGGTTATGTTTTAAATATAACCCAGGAGAGGCACAAAGCTGAAGTGAGAAGAGCCATAAGCGATGAAAAGTTAAATACAATAGCATATCAGTAAGTAATTCATTTACTTATCACAAAATATCATTGCTAAACATCTAGTTTGAGCTCTTTTCAAATTTAGAGGATTGGTTTTGAAAATTGTAAAACAACCTTCTAAAAGTGCTTAAATAATATAATGTTTAGGTATACATCAGCAATGCTGTATGCAGATTATGATTATTCTGTGTTTTTTTAATATTTATTTTGTCTTCTAAGATTATGACCTGATATATAGACATTTTATTAATCTTTATGTTGCATAATAAAAAACTACCTAGGTTGTCAATGTTCACTTTCTTTTCTAATATTTTAACCAACTAGAGAACAACATCATTTTAAACTTTATACCAGATACAAATGATACCTATCCAGTTTTTTTGTCCTTTAGACTCCTGTGCTGTCATCCTAATCAATTCAAGCTATGTGCAGCCCTAAATTAATATTGTGCCACCATTTGAAGGTTTTACTGCCTGGCATGAAATTGTTTGTACATATACTTATTGTTGACTCAAGAAGGGCTTAGACTTAAAATTTACCATTATTTTTTTTAATTTCAATTAAATTATTTTTAGTATTACTGGTCATAACGATTCTTTGGAAGATTGGACACAAGAAGGGCGTCGAATAGTACCTCTTTTACCTAGAGCACCACCCCAAACGATCTATTCAGCTTTAGCAAATGATGCTTCTGAATCTGCTAGTCAATCTAATAAAATGTTACCATTGCCAGTTAATACAGAGAGAAAAAGACCAATTATTATGCCTGTAACTGCTGCTGTGGTACCAGAAACCAGTAAAAGTGCTTCATTTAGAATCCCTGAGCCCCCAAAGGCAGAAGAAAGTAAGAAAAAGAAATTGGCTGGTACTGCAGACAATGCTAGTTTTACACAGCATCTTTTGGCACCTAAATTGTGTAAAATCCAGCAGTTATACAGGTTAGTTTTTGTTGGTTATACATGTAGTTAGAAAGAGATTGTATAGCAATAAGGTAAAAAAAAACAAACAAGAATAATTTTATTATAGTTTGTAAGAATAAGTATTAATTTGTTCTAAAGATTTTGGCATGTTTATAGGAATTTATAGGATTTATCAGGAATGTCAAGGACTATTGTGATGTAATTCTGAAGAAGCACCACCATTAAAAAGTATTTTGAAAATATAATATATCAAAATATTTATAAATAAAAAGGGTTTTTCATCAGCAGCGGTTGTGGTCAGCATACATTTAAGATGTCACATAATATTTATAAAATAATCATTCAACCTCATTTTGATTACTAATGGAGTATATTATATTATTCTGTTGACAAACACATTTCAAAATGGAGAGATGTGAACTATTTTTGAGAGCATATAATTCAATTTATTTTGTTATGTATAAGCAGGGTCATCACTTTTGGCGTGAGGGGAGAGGAGTAGGTACTCCATTCTCAATGGCGTACGGTTTGAAAGGGTTCATATTTATGTTTACCATTTATGCACTGTAATTTCACAATAACTAATAATTTAGATAATTAATTCACATGATTAATAAACACATTTATTTAACAATGTTCTCTATTTATGTTAAACTTTCATTATACACTGTATTGTAAACATGTTTTACTGGAAATGACTATGTTCTTTTAGGATTGAAAACTTTTTTTATTGTAGATATGTTTTGAAACTGCATGCTTTCAACTGAATTCATGGTCACACATTATTTTTATTTAGTTCAAGTAGATCATTTAGAAACTGAAATCTTTTTTATAGAGTACCTAAATAAAAGAAAAACAAATGAAAAATAAAAACAAATAACAATAATTTATTTTTTATAAGCCTTCATACTGTAGAAGCTTAAAATAGTACAAACGCTCTTAATTCAGGGGAGTATTTTGTTCTGGAATGATCTTCAATTGCTCTCTTGACCATTTCCTTAGACCCACTTGCAAGAGTAGCCTAAAAAGTTTACTAATTTGATCTAAAATAACATATGTAAATAAAATGTTTCCTCATCATTAAAAACATTTATGAAAATTACTGGAATTAATTCTTACATTCACAAGTGTATCTGTACTTTTGATAAAATAATTATTTTTTTTATATATCCTATTATACTATTTAAAGATTCCAATCCACTTTGTAAAATATATTTCTCCTGAGTTTTTTAATTATATTTTTTTGGCATAGAATCTTCTTTTGGGCAAGAGCTAATTTTTTATCAAAAAATAACTGTTTAAATTTTTTTCTTAAGCATTGCTTTCCTGAAATCATAATAATGCTTGATTATATGAGAAAATATTTTATTTGACTTCAACAAACTTTCTTTTTTCTTTTTTAAGTTCTCTTTCCCTTTCAGAAGCATTTAGTGTAGATGAATGGGAGCTTACAGATATTGTGGTTTTAGGTGATGAGTTTATCAAACTTTAAACAATTTTTTGTCTTCTAAAGAGAATTAGAGATTGAAGTTCTCTGTCTTGCATATTTTCGTCCCTACAAATGAAATGTACATAAAATGTATTCTGCATATTTATTAATGATATACATTTAATTAAATTTCAAAAGTTCCAAAGGCTATTAATACCAGCACTCGTTTGGTTTTTAAAAATATGAGAGCTAATCATACTTTTTCATTAGCCTACTATCTTTCTTTTCCAACTTCGAAACCAATGTAAGGGCATATTTTCTTTGCCGTCGTTATTTTTAAGCCTATAAACAATAATATAATAATAATATATGTTTGGTATTTAACAAAGTAAGCAAATAAGTGTTTTTTCGAAAGCCACATGTATGAATATCGTATTACAATTATTTAGAGAGTATACGGAAAAAACTTACTTATTTCTAAAGCAAAGTACAGGTTATTCAAATTCGCCAATCATAAATCGTTGTGTTCCTAACTCGCCAATCATAATACGTCGTGTACCTATCACTGAAGGGGTTACTCCAATCAGTACATAACAAACCCATTTGAGTAACACCTCTAGTCTTATATGCTCTAAGGTATACACCTATTATTACAATGCTTTCCACTTTAAATGGTTGGCTAAATGATATGTAGACTATGAAGACTAGATATAAGGAGGCAAATCAGCAATGGTTAAATTTCTATCCTTCTTTTTATAACCCTGAAAGACGTCTTTTTGTGTCTTGGTTTAGTCTCAATGTCCTAGGACGTTATTAAGACGTCTTGCAAAAGCCATAATTCAGACGTTTTAATGTAAGAGCTCAAAGACGTTCTTAAGACGTCTGAAAGACATCTTGCCAAATCCATATATAAATGTGAAAGCTCAAAGACGTCTGACAAACGTCTTTTAGTCGGACGGAAACTTTCACGGTTTACATAATTCAAATTTAACAAGAAGAATCAAATTAAGTGAAGTTTGACTTTTGACTTAACATTACATTCAAGCCGGACTTCCGATTCGGACACCGGTCGTGGCAACATTGAAATGGTGGTCTCCGAATCGGGAGCCTAGAAGTCCCATAAAAATCACAAAATATCTAGTATAAAAGTGACCATCCGACTTTAAAAAGTATACAAAATTAAAAAGAATATTCAGTTTAATGTTTGGAGAAGAATATTGAAATTAAATAAAAAGTGCAGTGGAAAAGTGAAGACAGAAGTCTGACGCAGGAGGGTGCAGCCTTTCCACTTAACTAAATTTGTATGGCCCAAGCTCATTGTGGATTATTGAGTACGCGATTATAGCCACCAAAAGCGTTTTTGGGCTATTTTGAGCATTTGTGGCTCTTTCCACTTAAATAATATGGAACAAAACCAGAGAGGGAAGGACAGTTTTTGTTACCAATGTAGCACGTTCCTGGAATACAGGTAATAAATGAATATTTGTTTATATTAACACCTATCATGTATCTTCTAAGTGAGAATAATTAAATTAATTTAAAAGTAAACATCCTAATATAAGATTTAATTCAAATATTCGTCAATTATATTTTTTTTGTTTTATGGAGATTTTGAGAACTATTAATATCAAAAACCCCCTATTAGATAGCCATTTTGAATTAAGTTAAAGTGAAATTGTTAAAGTAGGTGATTAAGCATAATAGCTCATTGCATTAAATGATTATAAAAATTCTTTGATTTAAAATTCTAAGAAATTAATTTTTTGTTTTATAGATAACTGTTCTTTCGTTTTTACTAACTTTTGCAAAGTATACTTTTCTGTGACTAGATGCTCCTAACTAAATTTCTTTTTAGGAGCTATATAGAGGCAACTACAAATCAAAGAGAAAGAGAAAAATCAATTCAGTTATGGCTAAAGAGAAGTAATCGAATGCGCTACAAAGAAAATAACTCTTAGTGACCTGTGATTAATAGATATTTTATCAATAAATATTTTTAATTCTATTTTTTAATAACAAAGATATCCGACGTCCTCCGTTCATAAGACATCTTAAAGACGCCTTATTTATGTCTTCACAAGACCATTATAAGCTATTAGTAAGTCGTCTTAAAGCTTGTATTTAACAATAAAAAAATCTGTTAACTGCGTTTTATTTTGCTCTTAACTATATTTAGGTATAATTAAAAAAAATTAGACAAAATATTACAAATTTCACCATTATCAAATTGGATCATACCTACCTAAATGGCATTTTATATATATAAAATTAAAAAATTTATCAATTAAACATGCGAGACTTATTTAGAAATAAATACAACAGTATATTATGTGCTTTATTTGGCAATAAACACGTTTATTTTTATTATTTTGACAAAATTATGTAAAATTCACATAAGAAGCCATGTATTTTAAACAGCGGTACTAATACCAGCGCCCTTGCGGTGAATTAAAAAAGCTTAATTAGCGTTCGTTTTTTAAAACCGTATTTCGAGTATGCCGATTCGCCTCCTTATCTCTAGTCTTCATACTGTAGACCAATGTTATTTATGAATAAAATTTTATTGAGAAATGCCCACAAATTTTTCAGTGAAGAATTTAGATTTCATCAAAGTTCAAGAGACACATTTGTACTTATGTTTTTCCGAATATCGTCGGCTTACTTTCAAAACATTCTAAGTCCGTTTTTTACTGTTTACGAGGTTTTGATACAAATAGATTTAGAATATTATTATTTAACATCCTGCAAAAGCTTTTAAGTTTTAATTTGATTGTAGCAACATGTCGTTGCAGGATGTTAAATAATATTTTAAATCTGTTTGTATCAAACCTCGTAAACAATAAAAAGTAAGCCGACGATATGTGATATTAAGTGTATATCATCATAAAACTTATGTAGCGAGGGATGTAAGACATAATGGATTTCTTGTTTACCATTTTAGGCAACGGTCCAAACCAAAAACGAAGGAACTAATAAAAAAATCAGAACATGGTCACTTAGACATGTTGCAGCAACACAGAATAATACAATCCATTCCTCAAACTGCCAGTTGTTCTTCCCCGCAATCGCAATACATCAACCAAAGAGTGAATGTACTTCAAAACATAATTGTGCAACCTATCAAAGAAGAGTTAGCAGACCGCGACGAGACTGAGCTTACCAATTTAAAAATGCCCGATCGTCCCGCAATTCCACCAATTCCAGTGTGTTCGAACGAAAATCAGGCGCCTAAACCTAAAATAATAACAAATATAAAACCAAATACGAGTATAACGATCAAACATACTTCCCCGCAATCAGCTGGATCGAGTACTGAGCCCCAAAAGACCATCAAGATGTGCCCCGCTAAGAAACCCGTTACGAAAACCTTGAATTCCGGTCAAAAGTTAATCGTCGTTTCTAGTGCTCAAACGATACCGTCTAGCAGTATTTTGCAGGGAGCATTGCAAATTCCATTCAGTAAAAATATCTCTATTAAAAATTTCGAGAAATTTAAAATCGTTACCAGCAACTCCACGCCGACCAACCTTCAACTCACCAACGTGACCAATTCCGGCGTCAATTCCGTGAAACATAAAGTGGTTACGGTCAAAAATAATCCCGCTTCGAAGAAGGTCATACCGTTTTCGCAGCTCCAAGTGCTGAATTCGAAAGGTAGCATCAAAGTTTTGCCGCTCGGTGGTAAGATCGTGAGTAAATCCGTGTCGGGAAATCCCTCTCCCTTGTACATCGTCAATACGACACAACAAATAACTAAAGTCACTCATACGCCACAGATTATAACTACCAGCAAACTTCAAGACAAGTCTGAGATTAAAATAGTGGAAGGTCCAAGTGAGACTTGTAGCAATGCGCTCTCTAGTAGGGAAAACGGAAAATCATCAGTGTTGGAAGACATTCTTAAAGCTTCAGGTGTAATATCTGAAGAAAATGCTGCAGAGGATTATGATGCTAAAATTGAGGAATTTCATATTCCTCAGGTGAAAGGGAATGTTGTGGAGATGGAATGTGATGTCAACAGTGTAGTGATTGAGGATAGGAGGAATGAATTGAATTACATTGACAGTACAATTGAGCAAAAAATGGTCATGGAAGAAAATATTGTTGGTAGGTAAGATTATTTTGTTTTGCTTTATACTGTGTCAATTGCCAATTATAGTTTTCAGTATCCCAAAAGGAACCTAGAGTGGACCCTGTGAATTTTTGATTCATTTGTTTGCTTAGCAGTCATTTATATATTTTCATATTTTTTTTTTACTTTTTAATGAGTCAACAATGCCCAGTAAGGATCTCTGTTACAATCTTTCTGATTATATTCTGCCTTCCCTAGACCCAAGAAATTGTTCCAATTATGTGTTTTTATACTGCACAATTCTTTTTAATCTCACCTAATGTTGTGTTACTGCTGATACTGCAGAAGGGCTCAGATTACACAAAGAGTGTTTGTTTCTTGGGAGACTATCTGCAGTCTCGTTACCATGAGTTTTATTTGAACATTCTGCTCAAATTTTCTTTACAGATGAAACGGTAGTGACGCAAAAACTGGAGATACCAACAAGCGATTTAGTCAAATCTGAACATGTATTACAATTGAACATGTCTGAAGAGATAACAACTGAAGAAGTTCCTATAGATATGATGGACATAACAGAATCTAAAATTAGTGATACAGAGTGCAACTGATATTTATTATTTAATTTAAAATTGTATTTTTTTTTCCTTGTACAGTGTGTTCATTTAGAGCTTTCTTATTCATTTTAAAAACGTCAATTGTTTCATTTCGGATTTTCTTTTTAAGTTTTTTGGTATTATCGTAAAATTTAGCACTAAATGGCTGCCCTGTAACGTTGTATGTTTCGCTAGACCACTTGTTTACGTGGTACTTTGTTTTTAAATGATCATGTTTTTATATATTTGGTTGTTTTTTTTTTATCTCTATTTAGAAGTGTTTAGAGAATAAATGTTTGCTCAATCCAACAATTGATATGTTTATTAATTGTTTTTAATTTGAGACATGTCATTATATTTATTTTAAATTATGCAGTCCAAACGATTTGTGGCTATTCATGGTACATATAAATATTTATATACATACTGATAAACGTTTTTGTTATTTTGAGCTTTCCTTTTCCTAAAAAAATTACAAGAAATCTTACTGCTAACAATCGCACGTCTATTGAATACCTATACATTAATCGGATTAAGATTGTAACTTATATGGTGACAGTTGAATTGTTTTAAGAATTATTATTTTTGTTTACCTTTGCATGTATATGGGTGTGATTCTACGAACAATATTTTAAAATATTCTTCTGACTTGGTAACTTTTATATTTCACTTAATGAAACTATAATATAACATAAAAGTACATATCTGTGACTATATTTCTAATGTATAATTGAGATTATCGTCCAGAGTTTTAGCCAGGGAAGGCAGCGTTGACAATTACAAAATCACTTAATCAAATGACATTTGTACTTTGAATATAACCAGTTAAAAATGAATCTCCTGTTAAGAGTTTACAGCATTCTTAATAAAACCCATCCTTAATATATTATTTTGGGTTTTAGAAAATCCATTACAATATGGTATATGTTACAAGATTCCAAGGCATTTGATAGGGTGAACCATTACTTCAAAAGCTTAACAAATATGGTCTGGGTGTGGCATTACTGCAATGTATTGGTGAGAGAACTCAAATGGTTAGAGCTAATCACCACTATTCTAACTTATTTAAAGTAACCTCGGGTGTTCATCAGGAGTCACATCTAGGACCCTTACTATTTAACTTATTTATTAATGATATAATTTGTTTCTATAACAGCAAAGCTTTATTATTTGCAGATGATTGTTAAAACGCATGATGATGCCCACAGACTTTAGTCTGACCTATGGAGGTATAATACTAATAAAGATGCTAAAAATTACCCTCACTAGACGTGGCTTAAATGGTAGTCTAAACAGGGTCATATTCAGTTATAAAAAATGTCGCCTGTGCAGAATTACAACTTTTAAATGAGTTATATACCTAAGATTTGTTTTAACATGTCCAATACGAATTTAAATCTAATTTATTTATTACGCAAGTGTGACTTTTACATTATTTGTTGACCCTTTTGCGACTGAATTAGATTAGATAAATATTGCCAAGACTACACAAGACATGACTTTTTCTATATTTACTGCATGATATTCAGAAAACATTATTTTTCACATTTAAACAAATTTGTATTAAATTGATGGATTTTCAAACCATTTGTATTCTTTATATTCTAAACCTGCAGAACATGTAACTAAGAAAATAGACAGTGTTCAGCACAACTTTCTCACATATGCAGCTTTCAAATTGGGCGTTTATTTATGGAGCATTTTCTAAACATCCCCTCCTTGGAAACTAGGCGAAAACAGAGACCTTACTATGCTTTTTAATATTATAAATAGTAGATGGATGCAATTGTCCTAAACTTGTTGAAACAATAAACCTTGTTAACTAGTCAACTGCAAACTTTTAAACAACTGCATTCCAAGAATGCTTAGATTAGCTAACTTGGACAGTGATTTCAGGCTGTTCAATATTCCCTGTTAACTCAATTACTTAATACTAAGCTTTAATGCCGTTTTAGTGTGTATTTTCTCTTTTTTAATCTTTGACTAACCTATTTTATTTTAAATGTTCCTAGTATTGTACAACATATATGTCTTTGATTCTGCTACAGCACCATACATATTTATATTTTAATTTTTAAAATTGTAATTATTGAAATGGACTGTCCCGTAAATAAATTATAGGGTTGAAAACAGAATCAACAACCTCTTGAATGAACTCTGTAACAACCAACTATTCATTCTGTTCTTGATTAGTAAATAAATACAGAGTGTACTAAGTAGCGCAGTCAGTAGGATTGGTAGCAGCAAAATTGATTTCAAATATTAATTTTTCCGACATTTACAGTGCTATCTTGGACATGTATTATCTTAATTGTTTTTGTCTTCAAGTTCTAATATTAAGGCGGGTACAGATCTGAGCACGTACGCGTATGAGACAAGCCGAGGACGCTTGAGCATGCAGATGTGGACGGGCTTCCGAGGCGCGGCAAATTGCCTCATTGTGTGCGCCGTACGGCCTCGCCCCGATCCGTTTCATGGCGGTACATCAAAGGGAGGCAATGCGCAGTACGTGCTCAGTCTGGACGGTGAATTTGTACCATACAGCACCGTACAGATTATAGCGAGTTTTTAGTATTATTTTGCAAGGAACGGAACCAGGAAAACGTTTTGCTTCTTCTGGATTTAAATAATCAGCGTTACATCTTAAGAGAGAAAAACTCCAGTTCTATAAAAACACAATAAAAAAAGGATATCCTTGGCAGGAAATCAGCCATCGATTCCCCTCCTTTTTTCTTTAATGTGTCTGATAAAATTATAAAGCATGCACTTAAGTCCGCAACGTCATCCTTATCCTTCATTTTTGTTTTAATTTTACAAATTTTCTGGGTATACAGTTGCGTGCTCGCGAATTTACTGGATCAGTGGCGAACAGCGCCTCGTGCGTCCATCATTCGTGTATACAAAATGCGTCGCACGAGGCATTCGATTCGACCTCGGCTTGCCTCATACGCGTACGTGCTCAGATCTGTACCCGCCTTTAGAGGTTTTCATATGGATTTTAAGCCATTGACAAATTACTGGGTTTTGAATAAATTTTTTGATTAATTTACATTAAATTCCATATAAAATCATTACTATTTGTTTGTAATGCACCCTTTTTGCACTCTTGTGTATAGAATATAAACATGGTTCTGAAATATAGAAATAAGTTTTGTGGACTGAAAAATCAACTATTTTGAACAGGTAATAATACAAAAAGACAATTTAAAAAGAGTAACAATATATTTATAACAATATAAACATTCAGATATTTACTAAACTATTTTTCAATCAATCTATCAGATTTAAATGCAGATCAGTTCGGCGATCGAAATTGATGTTTCAGTAGCTGCACGGCAGATGATGGCATACAGTGACACTTTTACCGACTGAAAAACTTCCCTTGACCGCCTCATTCACACAAATTTTTGATTCGTGTTATATATAAAGAAAATCCACACGAATGGTATTTATTTAGCGAGATTATATAAAAAAAAAAAAACGTATAAAAAATTAGTAGGCACTGTCAAACACGAAAATGGAACTTTTTGACAGATACCATTCAGTTTTCGTCCCTCATGACTTCACTGGATTTGAAAAATTTAAGTCTATTTGGTACTTTAAGGAGCTAGACGACGTTTTACATCATACCACCCATTCCCCCCATGCCGCCCATACCACCCATTCCGCCCGGTGCTGCTGGTTCTTCCTTTGGTATTTCCGTAATGACTGCTTCAGCTGTTGTGAGGAGAGAAGCTACACCAGATGCATCTACTAGAGCGGTTCTAACAACCTTAGAAACAAAGAAATGTTAGGGTACATAAAAGTAACTAATTATTTTTAAAGTAGGAGTAGCTCAACCTAATTTAAACATGAAATATAGAAAAATATTTACTCACTTTTGTTGGATCTATGATACCCCTCTCAAACATATGAACATATTCATTGTTTAGAGCATCATAACCATAGTCGCCGTCATTTTGCTCTACTTTAGCCACTACAGAGGCTCCATCTACACCTGCGTTGCTAGCGATCGTCATGCATGGCACTTTCAAAGCCCTCTTAACAATTTGGATTCCTAAAATGTTAATTATCAATAAATAACTCTTGTGATCTCAGCAAAAACAATTCTAACTCACCAACTGCCTGATCATTATTATCAGGTTTGATGGAATCCAAACTGCTGCTGCATCTCAACAAAGCGGTACCACCGCCGGGTACGATACCTTCTTCGATAGCTGCCCTGGTGGCGTTAAGAGCATCAGTAACTCTGTCCTTCTTTTCATTGACTTCCACCTCACTACTTCCGCCAACTTTGAGTAATGCTACTCCGGAAGCGAGCCTCGCTAGACGCTCCTGAAGTTTTTCCTTTTCATATTCGGACGTGGTGTTTTCGATTTGATCCTTGATTTGGTCCACTCTTCTGTCAATGTCTTCTTTTTTACCTTTACCTAAAAAGCAGCAAATTTCGTTTAGAACTGTAAACAATTGCAGAATTTCCAGTAATTACCTTTAAGAAGAAGAGTATCATCTTTGGTTATAAGTATTTCGCCAGTTTGACCTAGATCTGATAGTTTGACATCTTCCAATTTGACGATATTGGCGTCATCGCCAAAGACAATACCTCCGGTGGCAACGGCGATATCGTGAAGGGTAGCTTTCCTGTTATCACCAAAGCTTGGGGCTTTTATTGCAGCAATTTGAAGGCCAATTCTAAGTCTATAAATAAAATGTTTGTGTAAACTTCCAAACTAAAATTGCAGGTTTTTTAATATGAGTTTTACCTGTTGACAACAAGAGTGGTCAAAGCTTCACCATCAACGTCTTCAGCAATAATGATTAGTGGTTTTCTTTGTGCATTTGCCAATTCAAGTGCAGGTACAATACTCTGTACAGAAGATATTTTCTTTTCACTGAGCAAAAGCAGAGCATCTTGATACTCAACTTTGGCGCCTAAAAACGTTTATTTGAGCTTTTGTAACAAATTTTTACAGATCAAATTAAACCTACCTTTTGTGGTGTTAACAAAATATGGGGAAATGTAACCCCTGTCGAATTTCATACCCTCAATGACTTCCAGTTCATCATGTAAAGTTTTTCCATCTTTGACAGTGATAACGCCGTCTTTACCTACTCTTTTCATAGCGTCAGCAATCAAATTTCCGACAGATTTGTCGCCGTTGGCAGAAATCGTGGCGACCTGGCAAATTTCTTCAGGTGTGGTGACAGGTTTTGACAAAGTTTTTAAAGTTTCTGTGATTCTTTCAACAGCTGTGATGATACCTTTAATAATATAGTTTGCTATGTATGACTTTTCTTGCATTTTATATAGAAAGACATTTTGTCTTAGAATGTTCTCATATGGAATTTGTAATCAAAATAAGTCAGGAATTGGATCCATTTTATAATCATTGGTAATATTAATAATAAAACACAAACAAACATTTTTATTTCAGTTTTTTTTTTAACATGTTTACTTACCTTTACGAATTTCCACTGGATTAGCTCCTTTACCCAAGTTGTCAAATCCTTCTTTGGCAATGAATCGTGCTAGAACTGTTGCCGTGGTGGTACCATCTCCAGCTTCTTCATTGGTATTATTGGCGACATCTTGCACCAATCTAGCTCCAATATTTTGAAATTTATCCTTAAGTTCTACACCTTTAGCTACAGTTACACCATCCTTGGTGATTTTTGGGGAGCCCCAAGATTGTTCAATAATAACGTTACGGCCCTGTGTTAAAGGGAAAAAATTTAACTATAATCTTTTGACCATTTCTATCTTTAATTGAAACAATCAGTATTTAAAAAATAAATCACATTCAAAGCATTATCAGGGCATTTTAAATATAATAAATAGCCTTGAAAATAATAATATTAATAGCCCTCATTATGAATGGTGATATGAAAGTCATTTTTTTTAATACCATTTTTTGAATTAGGAAGGCAGAATACCTACAATAATAATAGGATGATAATATATGACAAAGTTGACATAAATCTAAATGAATATTTTTTTTATAATAATTACAAAAAGTTATAATAAGCATATCATTTGATATTTTTTAGTTTATCTGTAAAGATGTTACAGGAATTATATACAATACATTTTCAAACATCTAAAAATCCATGACAATTTCTAATTGTAAAACAATATAGCTTAAACTTATTCATTTATTTATCAATGAACAATTGCCCAATTAAAATACAAATAATAAAAGGGAAAATTTAAAACCTAACCTACACCGAGTTGAAACAAAGTAACAAAAATTACCATAAACAAGAAAAAATTAAATATTAAAAACACTATAACAATTATTGTAAATAAGTTAAATAAAATTATCTAGACACATCAAAATATCACATACACGATTTAAGCAGGGATTAAAAGACTTCTTTATGATCAAAACAGTCCAATCTATCAGAATCCTGATTAGCAAATCTACAGGGCCTTGATAAAAAAGAATTATGTCCACAGTTAGTCTAATGTCTAATATTGAAGGGCTGAATAAGCCTTGTTTGTCTAAAAGGGACATGAATATTGATTTTTCCCAATAGCTCTAGATTAAAGCTATATGAGTGCAGCAGACTGTAGAATGTGGTAAGATTCTTATAAAACAGAACCCTTTATAATAAAATGGAATTTTAATTTTTTTCTTTTTTTGGTAAATGCCATTACTTTACATTTAAAGATTTTGTTTTGTACACACCATTTAGATATTATGTTTAAATTAAACTATATTGCTATAGTCATTTGAATCAATTATTTAAAGGAAGATTTTCAAATCATCTAAAAAAATAAGCCAGTCCAAATCCAAATAGCCATCCTAGTCTTTGATAAATAGTAATAGTAGTGACCCAAGATTTGAACCTTAAGAAACACCTGATTTTGAACAATATTTGTGTGATAAATGGCTATTGTAAAAAACAAACTGCTGTATTTCAAAGGTAGGTCTGGAAGAATTTCAGTAGAATAGAGAAATTTAACTAATAGTGTTCATTACCATATATTTAATGATTCTTCTCTTATACGACTACATATTTAATTATTCAGTGGATTATTTATGTTTTGTGAAAATTCTGATGGTAGAACATTTATAGACAATTCCAGATCCCAAAAACATGGATTACCCAGACATCAAAAACCCTGTTAAACTGATGATAAATAATTGGTGGTAATTTACAAGGTCACTAAAAAGTGGGGTTAACTTTTATTAAAAATTAACAAACCTTTGGACCCATAGTAACTGCTACGGCATCTGCAAGGACATCGACTCCTTGGAGCATCAAAGCCCTTACTTCTGAGCCAAAACGGACATCCTTAGCATACCATCTTTGAATCTGGTTGTACTGTTGAGCTTTGCGAAGGGCCAAAGAACGAACAGTGTTTGGTAGACGATACATCTATGAAACGAAAAATGAATGAGTTATAATAATTCTCAGTTTAACACTCGAAACTATAATGTATATTATTTGACAATTTATTTGAATTAAGCCTACTATCTGATTTGGTCCAAATTTAAAAAAAAAAAGACAATGAAATAAGGATTTAATTGACAATGTAATATAAATTGCGTATAAAATCAGTTTCAGATTTATTAAAAGTTACGAAATAGGTTGGGTTTGTAAAAAGCACATGGCCGTTCCTCTTTATGTCAATTATTTGTGACTTTTTTTCAAGTAATTACATGAGTTCGTGTAAAATTAAATTAAAGAATAATTAATCTCACCTTTATGTATTTAATTTGTACTATTTGACTTCTCTTCAACCAATTCAATAAAGTGCCGGGCCAAACGACAGCTCTTTCAACTTAACTTGTCCAACTTTTACGAAAAGTGACGAAAAGTTCTAGAAAGATTTTTAGAGAGATAGCGCTGTTGCCATTTTAAAAAACTGGAGTGTCTACAAAACCAATCGAAGGAATTTCTTGATTTTGCGAATAGAAAACGTAAAAAGTAAATAATCAGTATTTTTATATTCGCTCTTACATTGTTAAATGTATAATGTATGCATGAAAATATGTGGCTTTTTATTTTTTATGACAGTAGCCTTGTTAGTAGCTTAAAAAGTTAGAGATCAGTTTCTTTCAAGATTAGACCCACGAAATTAGACCTAAAGTTCAACAGGTAAAAGCAGAAGATTTTTTGTAGGTTAGGTTTAGGTTACTGTTTTTCAATTATGAATTTTTTTAGGAGAAAAATAATTATAATTATTCATGATAGGGTTCAATGTAAAAAATATAATCGTATAATAAAAAAACACTTACATAAATTCGAAAATATCCCGGGACCAACGTCACTGCCAGCAATAGGAACCCTTTACCAATATTTCCCTTTCATTGGTAAAATGCCCTACAAATCCAAAAATGTTTAATAAAATTAGAGTTTTTAGGAAAATATAGATTTGATGAATTACACTACAATGGCTACAAAAAGTACAATTCATTTGGATCTTTGGTTAGGGAAGAAATTGTTCCTGGAGTTAATGTTGTATGGTTATTTGACCCAAATGATATTGAAACCATGTTCAGGCATGAAGGAAAATATCCACAAAGGAGGAGTCATTTAGCTTTAGAAAAATACCGTTTAGACAGGCCAAATGTTTATAATTCAGGGGGGTTGTTACCTACGTAAGAAAATTAAATTAAATCCATTTAAGCAATCTTTATATAAATGATACCAAGATTTGTTAATTTGCTTTTATATAGTTGCTGGAACTTGGCAAAATTTGTAATAATAAATGGATTTGAATTGACCATTTTTAAGGAATGGTCCTGAATGGTTTCGAATTAGAAGTGTTTTTCAAAGGGGACTGAGTAGTCCACAAGCTGTGAAAAGATTTATACATGGTTCTAATGATATCATTCAAGAATGGTTAATTATGCTGGATGCTATGAGGAAAACCCCAAATTTGGACTATTTACCAGAACTATCCAGACTATTTTTGGAATGTATGTTTTATACGAAGTACTCTCTTGTTTCTTTCTGATAATTTAATTGATTTTTAGTAACTGGTCAAAATACTTTGGATATAAGGTTCAATAGCTTTACTGTACATGAAAGAAAGAAATATTCTAGATCATCTCAACTAATGAATGCTGCTTTATTGACAAATTCTTGTATATTAAAAACGGATAATGGACCTCAGTTGTGGCGAAAATTTGACACACCCTTGTACAAAAAAATGAAACGTTCTCAGGAATATATGGAACTGTAAGTCATTAGGATAATAAAAAACGTTTCAAAATAAGCCAAAATGTGCAAGATATTTAATTAAAAAAAAAAAAAAACATTTAATTGGGGATTATTGCCGCTATATTCTTTGTTTCCCATTTTAATTTGATGGAATATTATTTTTTAGAGTAGCTATAGATTTAATTTCTTTGAAGATGTCCTTGTTCATGGACAAGGATAATAGCAGTCCTTCACTTGTAGATTCATATTTGTCATCCCCAGAAATCGATTTTAAGGACATCATTGGAGTTGTCTGTGATTTTCTATTGGCAGGGATAGATACTGTGAGTTAATTCAGTTATTTTTACAAATTTAATTTCAACAAGAGTATGGTGCAAAAAAAGTGGTTGAGTCCATTAGTTTTACTCCATCTTAGCAACTGTAAACTTTATACACATATACAGAGTGAGCAACTGAACATTTTGCACCACAGTATTTTGTAGTAATAAAATTAAAAGATTCCGAAACAGGTCAATTTTTAATCCAAAAAGGAGACATCTTTTTCTAATATAAATGTCTTTCATATGTGAAATAAAATTGGCTTTTAAATAAAGTGTGACACTTTGCAATATGTAACAGTTTCCCACTAGAGGGTGTTAATATTAAAAGTAACACAATGAATAATCATATTTAAATTAAGGGATTGAGGAAGTGAAAGGAAGGGAGTTAACATACAAAAGTAGTCTATATTGAAGGATTAAAATCAGACCTGTTTCAACATTTTTTTAGTCTATTAAATACTGCCAAATATCAGGTTAGGCTGTTTCAGTGGCTCACTCTGTAGATATTCTTTAATTTTTAGAAAAAAATGGTATTTAGGTTTTTGTTTTCTCTCGATTTTCCCAATATGTTTGTAAAAGATTAGAAAGTGGTTTGGCAACACCCTCCATAAACAGCTTTCTAAATAATATAATTTTTAAGCTATGAAGGGAATCCAACCTCTCAAATGTGGCGATCTTCAATGAGAAAACTGATTTGGAGTTGTTTTATTTTCTCAATATAATTTTTCTTTTATTTTTTCTATTTAAATAATTATCCTAGTTTTCAGCACGCTTAAACTAATTAAAAAAAATATTTAAATCAATGCACATTTCAATTTTTTACAATAACGTTTTATTTTACTACAACTTGTAATTTTTAACACTTTTTTTAAAGCCTACTTTAGAAACTTTTTTTGCAAATCAATCCTAATTTTAATAATATGTAACTAACAGTTTCTAATAATTAATAAACATTCCGTTATTAAAGAATTTAAAATAAAACAGCTGTGTTTATAATAAAACCTAAATAATATAATAATAATAATAATAATACTCTCCCTAATTCACCCCCTTACGAGTGAATTTCAACCCCTGAAGTCGACTGAACGACTTGTGTAGGGGAAGGGACGGCTATTAATTATTATTATTATTATTATTATTATTATTATTATTATTATTTGCCGTGGCGCTCCGGGGCGACTTAAAGATGATTGATGGTGCCATTTGACTTACAGGTGAGGAAAACCTCACCCACCATCATCGAGACGGTAATGTATGGCGAATTTTTTTTAATCTGCATGTCATATCAACAAAAATTGAATTTCTATTAATACGCCACACATCAAATCCTAAACCGAACCATGCAATTTAATTAAAAATCCACATGGTCTGGTCTGGGATTCGAAACCCAGCAGTTTCAGACTCATAAACTTGCCTATAAATGAATATAAGCGCGATAGACCGCTACACCACCGTCCCGATATGAAATTCACAATGGTGATTTATTGCTGTAAAATTTTACAAAAAAATGGACAAAAATATTAACTCTCTTCTTATCCAGAACAACAACAATAATATATAAACACTCAATAGCTACCTATCGCGTTTTTTGAACATGACAGAAGTATTTTCAGGATTCACATAGTTATTTTTTCATAACAAAACTGTAAAAATTGTAAAGTATGACTAAACTCCTTTTCCCCAACCTCTTCAAGTACTTTTAATATAACTCTATTTTAGTCAACTTATACCACAAGTTTCCTACTTTACCACGTTGCCAATAATCCAAGTGTTCAAGATCGAATTTATGAAGAGTCTTTAAAAATGCTACCAGTAAAAGATGGCGATGTTACAGATGATATGCTAAAAGAAGCGTATTATATAAAAGCGGTGTTGAAGGAATCTCTCAGATTGAGGCCAGTTTCTGTTGGAGTCGGTAGGATTCTACAGAGTGATACCCAGTTTTCGGGTTATTATATACCAGCTGGAGTAAGTTAATGACAAATAATTGAGTATTTTGTTTATGTTATAGAACCTTAAACATCGTTTAATAAAACAAACAATTTACATTTGTTTTATGTATGTTAGTCATAAAGTTGTGGTTTATTCTTTAAAAATATTTAAATTGTCATGTCCATCAATTTTTTTATTTCATATGTGACTTCTCCAGAATGTGAAAAAATATTTTCCAAATTATATGTTGTACTTTTTAGTGACCGATTTAACAAAATAAATTTTATTTTTTCTGGCTAACTCCGATTCTGATCTTTTTATTTAGGATTAATAAAAAACAGAAAGACTAGGCAAAAAGTTGACTATTTAAATAATTCGATATTTTTTTGTAGACCACGATTGTGAGTCAAAATCAAATATCCTGCAAATTGGAGAAATATTTTGCATTCCCAGATAAATTTTTACCGGAACGCTGGTTAAAGAATCACGCATTGTATAAACAACCCCATCCATTTTTACTTTTGCCGTTTGGACATGGACCAAGGTCTTGTATAGCTAGAAGACTAGCTGAACAAAATATGATAATTCTGTTGTTAAAGGTAAGAATATGCTCTTTTAATATAGAGTATTTTAAGGTCGGCCACCGGCCATATCTATAACAAAATAACAAACTATTATTATTACAAATTGCGACCTCTAGCAACTATCTAGAAACTATCGTGTACCAATGGATACGACAATTAAAAGTACTTAAGTTAAAATCGTATAAGTCATTTAGAAGTTCCAGCAATTTAAATGATTGCACTTTCAACAGATTCCCCATTCTTATAAAGATTGGCCTTTGACCAAACTGATTTAAATTCTAAATATTTAATTTTTAATTGCGCTGTCTTGCGGATAAATGTAGGATTTAATAATAATTTTCCAGAATTTTCTTATGGCCACTTTAATCATGAATTTTTTTTCTTCTAAATATTTATGTCTAGAATTTTCCCAGTTATGTCCAGTGACCCAAGCTTAATGAAACACCCTGACATTTAATAAAATTTGACAATTATTAATATTAATAACGACTATTGTTGAGGAGTGGAGTGTGTTTGGAAACCTCGCACTCCAGGGGACTATTTTCAAACTCGAGAGAAAATTAATTTTCTCAAGATTTTCATGAGAAATGTCATACGTCTTCGTAAAAACAGTATTTTAAAAGCCCGTGAGAATTAAAATGCTTAAAAAGAGTTTCAATTCTCTCGAAATAAACCGAAAGAAATAGTCAGTGAGTTCTCAGTGTTCTCACTGGCTTTAAAAATACTGTTTTCACGTTGACATATGACATTTCTCTTGAAAATCTTGACAGAAATGAGTTCCCCCAAGTTTGAAAATAGGTTTCCTGTAGTAGTGACATAATATGTCATATTCGATCCGCTTTTAAACTTCTGCATTTTTTTTCTTACGTTTTCAGTTGATAAGGAATTATAGAATTAAATGGAATGGTGGACAATTGGATTCAAAATCTCTATTAATTAATAAACCCGATGGACCAATCTTGTTGGAATTTATAAAAAGAGATTCTTAATAAGTGCCTTTAAAAGAGTTTTTGATTTTTGAAAAGAGATGCATTTTTATTTTATTTGATTAAGAAAAATTGTTAAAAACGGTAAGGTTAAATAATTTTTTTTGTTTAAGAATAAAAATGTTTATAAATATCTGATTTTATTTCTCTTAATTACTGTGGCCGCTTATCTATGGAGTCACTGTATTGCTTTCGTGCTGAATGAAAACATTTCCCTCCTCCACTGTCAGGTCAGAGTAGGTTTCGCAGTTTTTTCGTTAAGCGAACATAATTATTTTAAGTTAAAATAAAAGTGGATCTTACACGATTAACATAGAGAATGGTGAAGTAATTATTTTTGCACGAATTTTAACGAGCTCCGGAATGGACGTCGTACCTGAATATTTAACATGTAGATACAGGTGTAAGTGCTAAAGGGATCAAATATTTTGATATGGACAGGCTTACCTCTTTCATTGCTGATTAAATTTGGCATACTTTACTTGGTGGCTGACAAATCAAATTATTTGTAAAAATGGTTCAAATATATTTTTTTTAATCTTGATTAAAATAAAAAAAATATATATGACGTTCAAAAACGTTATATGTGCATTGGTATGGAAACTATACTCTCTAATTTTAGAATTGATTTTGTTGTGAAGGTGAATGTTGATTTTTCAAACAAACAAAAAACATAAAAAAGTTTATTTACTTCAGATTTATGTCTTGTTATTTTGATGTTACTCAGTCTGTACAAAAAATATTCTATAAAAATGACCTTCGAATCACAGAATGTTTTGTAAGTTATGTATTTTGTACTATTTTATTGGCGATATTGGCCATCATCGTATTCTGGTCTCTTTCCAATATCTTGTGGGTTGTCTTTCAGATGACGAGCATCTTCTTCCTAAAAATAAAGAATTTTTTTTTGTTTCATTAGTAAAGAAACCTAATTCAGAAAAAAGGGGAAGTTTATAATTAGCCATTGTTTAATTCTACTGTTGAACTTTAGGTGAGTTTATTTATTAAATATCATTTAAGAGGAACTTCATTGAATAATCTGGGTACAAGAAAAATACGACTTCTTAAAGTTAATGTCCTAGCTAACTAAACTTTTTACCTCTTGAGCTCTGATTCCAGCGAAGATCAGTTCCAATCCCTTTTGAACCTCGGGACTGACTGGTGGTGGGGTTGGTAAGTGATCACCGGTCGCGTGGAAGCCACTTTCATCGGCTATGTATTTGACGTTGATAAGAATTCCTTCAGGTGACGTGTAACTGAAAGAACCAGTTTGTACTTGGGATTTGAGTGTTTCGCCCTCAGCATTTGGATCCGGTCCAAGGTTCTTCAGGTAGCCTTCTTCTTCGGCGATTATATTGTTTCCCGTTTCGTAACTAAAAAAATTGAACTGTTAGAATTGAGAAAAATAAATATAAGGTATACTTTATCTAATATAAATTAAATAATTTAACAAAAACTGTTGGGTCACCAAGAGCCTCTGCTGGCCAGGACAAAGAGAAAAAAAGGTAGAACGTCTGCAAAAAAAACTTGTTCTGTTTTAGCTTAATTCTCATTTTGTAGTGGTGTTTCTTCGTTTTCTAAGAATTCTACAGATAGATGTGTATTATTGTATTATTATTCATCAGCTGGAAATTGAGTTCAATTCTTGCAGCATCCAGAAACACACACTATCATGTACAACAACAGTATTTATCAGTTCTTTCCTCTATACTGATACTATTCTAGATCCTTTCTAGATTATTTAGATGGTATTTAAATATTTTCAGATATTACATAATATAAAACAAGTTATGAAAGTAATTGTAAAAAACAGACTTCAAAATCGTGAAGATGCAATTAATTTTTTTTATTTTCTCATAGATTCTCATCAGATCCTGACAAAAAAAATTGGAAATCGGACAACGTGGTAAAGAATTATTGTTAAAAATATATAAAAAAATAAAGAGTGATTACATTCTCATAGGCCTCTATTAGATTTCGATCAAATTTATATGGGACCACCTCTGAGGTAGCCTCCCCCCTTCTAACAAAAAGAATAGTAGACATCGGACAACATGGTAAATAATTATCGTTGAACATATATAAAAAAACCTCCTCCTCTTTTTGAAGTCTGTTAATAACATGAACTTACGATGCTTTGTAACTTCCATCCTCGGATTGTTCTTTATCGAATCTAATAATCGGAATAAAAGTCGTACTTTCGTGCTTGGAACGGACTTGGTTGTCTTGATATTGGTTGGATTCCTTAGTCTGTTGATAATTTTGAGCGGAGTTGTCTTGTACTGAGTTCTTTTGGTATTGTTGATCGGAGTGTGGTTGGTAATCCTGATTTTTTTGGATTTCTCGTTGAGACTCGTCGTAGTATGAATGAGGCCGCCTCTGTGGTTGGGCAACGGCTACACCAAGCACCAATGCGGAAACAATCTGAAGAATAAAATAATATATGTAAAGTAGTAATTTATTTTTATTTATTTATTTAATTTACCCCATTAAATATTGACAATAAGTTAAACATTAAATTATACAATGAATATTATGCACAAGCATTTGAAAGAAGAATCTAAATAAATTGACCATAATAATATGAATAGATAGAGAAAAATAGAAGCTGTAGTGATAATATAACTAATAATAAAACGTATATCAAAGTAGGGGAAGGTGGCATACGATTATAACTATCCTCTTAATTACTGGATGGCATTTGGGTTACTACATCCTCTTGTGTAGGTAGTGAAGAAGGTAAGTTATTTATAATGTATATCAACTTGTCCGAAATTTTTTTTTGTCTTGTATACAGTGTCGAATTGTGAACTCCAGTGCCTACCGGCCAAGAGGGAGAAGAGCCCACCTTTTTCATAATCCGATTTTCATTGAAGAGCAAAAAAAGTCCTCTCTTTGAAGAGCAAAAAAGCGTCCTCTATCACTGAAGCGCAAAAAAGGTCTTCTTTTTTTGAACGGCAAAAAGTCCTCTCTTATTGAAGAGCAGAAAAAGGTCCTCTCATGTATTACGGAGTCTCTTGCATTTAATTAACCGAGAGCCCACTGTCTGGACGAGGGCCCACTGCTCGAATGAGTGCCGGTCGACGCGACGGCTCAATCCGACACAGCTTGTATAACACATTAAGGATAAATGTACCGTTATTTTTGTATTGAAGTGTTTTTTCTAGCATGCTGTATTGCAAGATATTCGCGCTATATTTCACTGGGGCATCTATGAATCGGATACTGACACTGACGAAAGTGTACTATGAAGAAAAAATAAACTTAGTAAAGAAGACAAAACCGAATGTTCTGGTTGTAGAGAAAGATATGAGACAACCAAAAGAGAAGTTACTTCTTTTCAGTGCATGTAAAGAAGAAAAATGAATAAACTAGTATTAATCGTTGTTTTTTAGGATCACATAATTTTTTTACAATTACAATTTTTATAATTACTATTTAATATGACCACATTTAATATTATTCTTTACTGTTCTTTCGTATTAGCTCATCCTGTACAAGAAGATTCAATTTATATGAAAGTGAAATGAAGCATCTTTCCATTACCTATTTTCTTGGTCGTATTGCATTCTTTAAGTGTCAAGGTTGTAACGAAGAATGTTGCTTATTATTTGATGTTACCGGTGTTTGCCGTTGCATAACAGATACCCGAAGAATTTAATCTGTTTCCTATTATCAATTTATTGGTTGATTAAAATGCTGTTCTTTTCCAATATGCGAACCGTTTCTGCATTTAAAATATGTAACTGCATACATTATACGAACACTGAATCAAAGTAAAGAAAATAAAACAGTTTTCATACATTTTTTTGGGTTTTTGGATTATCACCTACGCTATTAACAAATTGAGCATTAATTATTCATTTATTTACGAATTAACTATCTGAAACTAGACCATGGAATGTTTTTTATTACGTAATTAGTTTTTTTCTGTTAAATCGAAGACATTATGAGATTAACCCATCGCTAACGGTTCAAATTGTTTTTAAATTATCATTAAATGTGACGGTCTTTAATTAATTATCGAATTAGTCAACATGAAATAAATTCCAAATAAAATTAATTGATTAATTGCGAATGTGCTGAAATACTTAGTTAACTCTTCATGTCTAAATAGGTATAAGTACGTGCTTCGGTGAGTTTGTGCCGACAAAATTCTCTCCGCCATAAAGTATTTTAGAATTATAACTTGTTTTTTTTTTCATTATAATTGGAAGCCTCTGGTACATCATCATTTAATTTGATAATTTCAATTATTTCTCCTTTTGTGACTTAGCAATATAGTCAAATACATTTTAAAATTGTGCTCTTCTTGAGAGTTTCATTTTTATAAAATTTCTTGGAAATTAACAATTAAATTAACAATAAAACAATTGGTAAATGCCAGTTAGTATACCAATTTACCCTAATACTAAAATAGTTAAAGAAATGCTGTGAATTGTGGATGAAGCTTTATGTAAAAAAAAGAACCCTTGTTCGCTGCAGCAGGTTGATCCAGTGCTGTTATTTTTTTCTTTTTGTAAAAGTAGACAAAAATATCTTGAAGTATATAGAATACAATATATTAATCTCAATTTAGAGGCGGTTTCTTCATTAGTTCATTTGTGCAGTGAACACCCAATTAAATTTCATAAAAACATTATTTTAAAATAAATAACATAAAAATATAAATCAATTTTAATAATTTAATCGTGCTCATACGTGATAATCTCTATGCTGATTGAACACGCAAGGTTTCCGCAAATGCCTGTAGTTAAAAAGAAAAGTCAACAGATGCCTGGATCAAACAATGTGATCGCTTAGAACCACGCTATTTTGTGCATCGCCCATAAACAAGGGTCACAAAGTAGAGCGAGGCATACGAGCCTTTCCAAACAAACTCTAATGGCGTTCTCCACTGACACTAACAGTACACACTGAATATATTTGCGTTGACAAGTAACCAGAATAGAAGAAATGTTCGAATTCGAAGTATTAAATTCCTTTGTACGTAGATAATAAACAATTGAACAAAAAGCTGTAAACATATCTCATATATAGAAGGAAATGTTAATTATTTATTATAGTACTATGACGAAAGAGTAACGTCATTATTAATGTGCAACGGTTTTTGTATTAAAAAGCCTACATGAAAAATATTGTAGTTACGTACTCAACACAAAAGTACCACTTATCGATCTTGTTATGTAAATAACTACTTGGTGTATCTCGCAATTTACAATATCCTTTATCTTAGAGTTATTTTTGTCTGTACTAAACACACCAGAAGTATTTACAGCTATTTTTGGGTCACGGTGTAAACATGCTCACCCACGTTTTTAATGTCGTCCTACAATAATGCATCGATAATAAAACGCTAATAGGAATACTTTCATTACACAAAACGTATTGTGTAACTAACGGAACGCTAATAAAATTCCTATTAAAAGGTGACAAAAAACCGTGGTTAATTTTAAAATATGCAATTCGCGTCTTACAAGACATATTATTTGAAAGAAATGTTGAAATTCGGCAGCTGTATGAAAGTTGTTGCATGAGTCATAAATTAATAATGTGATTTATCGTAATAAAGACGTTTTCGAAATTTTTCGGTATTAGTTTTTATCAATTTCGTATACATTGTGTAAAAGTATAAAGTGAACCTTTTTTAATATTTGTATTTATTTAAAAACGTATGAATTACCTTTTGGATGTCTACATTCCAACAATCTTTTATAACTTATTTACACTAGCTATGTTTTACATCATTTTGAGTTGTAATTTTTTCGAAGAATTAAAGAAGTTAAAGCAGGCGTACCTCAAGGAAGTGTCATGTGGCCAGTTAATTACTTGTTGCTTATCTCCGACATACCACAAACTTGTCATCGGTAATACTATAGTACTACGGTAGCGTAGGTGTCTACGGCGCGATATTCATTTGCGAGGTAATTTTCTGGTAAAAGACAAGGTTTCGAATCCCACGGAAGACCATGTGAATTGATTTGCATGGTTCTCTATAGGATTTAATGAATGCCATATTAGCAGAAATTTAATTTCTGTTGATATGACATCCAGATTATTAAAAAAATCACCATGCGTTACCGTTTTTGATTATGGTGAGTGGAGTTTTCCGAGTTTTCCTCACCTGTATTAAAATAATAATAATAGCCGTCCCTTTCCCCGGACAAGGGAGAGTATTATTATTAGAAGAATCGACCAGAACACTTCAATTATGCAACTAATAAAATCTGCGAGTAGATGAGTATTAGGCTCTACCAAATTAGAACAGTTTAGGTTAGTTAACTTTAGGTACTAATAAACCTCTTTAAAAACCATACTAGACGAAAATGAAAATAAGAAAAAAGTAATAGAATGGTTTTTTTTGAAAAATTTTAAAGTAGAATTGTTCAATATACCTTTTTTCTATTTTCGATCAAACTACTGTTGACAAGAAAGTTTCGCAGTTCGCAAACTTGGCAATTAATCTTTTTTTGACATATGACTATCAAGTACTACTAGAACAACTAAAGAAGGCGATGAGAGCGGGCGGTGCAGTGCACACACACTATATATTTACTATTTAATAATTAAAATTAATGAGATTGTCTATAAAATCTATTTTACGTATATTTTGGAATGTCTACAATAATTTCTATAAAATGCAGATGAGATATTTGTATTTTTTGGCAGTTCTATAACTCTACAGCATTTATGCACGCACCAGCCGCCACTTATGGATTGTCAACTGATACAGAGCTTTCTATAAAGATTTTTTGTCATTGTAATATACCCTAACTTCTTATCTATTTATATACATTATAATAAAAAATACAAAAAATAAATACAGAGGGTTCAATGAAAAAAAATATGCTTAGAACTGGTTTATACAATTTATATAATTTCCAAACGACTTAATTGATTGATCATTATAATAAATTCGAAGAATGATCCTGTATTTATCTCAACTCCCGAAGATTTACTTGTATTCGGTATCATATACTACATTTTATTATCTGTATAGTCTTTTTTTTTAATTTAAGAACGTATAAAAGCATATTTACATATTTTCACAAATATTCGAGCCGAATAATTACTGGTTCAAGGATCTCTGGTTACCCCTACTTAACGATTTTAAAGTGAAATCCAAAATGCACCTGCAGGCGTCCCCCGCAACCCTATCGGAACCACTTTAAGTCGGCCCATCTTTTACATAATCACAATCAACAAGAAATCGAAGACACCGAACGAAATACCAAAGGTCGTTGAGTGAAAGGTACTTACCAAAATCTTCATGACGCTACTACTTCTTTCACAGACAACGATGAATACAAGATATAAACAAATTACGGATCTTAGTGAAATCTCTATATATACCCTCTCTACTGGAGCATCCTCACTCTTTTTTATCAAGTTCTAAAATGTAAATATCACGGACTTATTGGGATGAGATAGTTTTTCTTGTGAAATATTGGTAGGTGGAGATTTTTTAGAGAACTGGGTCTCTGTAATTTAATCAGTTATGGTACCTATTATGATATACAGGATATTTTTATCTTCAGATCTCGTCGATTCTGGTAAAAAAAGAGTGGCTAAAGCGTGGCATAAATTTCTACAATTTTTATTGGTCTTATAAGTTCTTATTATGTATGATTGTATTTATTACAGGCCATTTTTAATAACTTTTTACTGGGTGGACATCTATTAATTGTACTGTAAACCACGTATTAATTTTTTGAACATCAGATTAAATTTGAAAAACCCTAATATTTCCAAGATAAAATCTTTAGTATAGTATAGTATAGTATAGTAGACTCCGTCACATGGCCCCCACATTCGATTACGGATCCTGAACCCTGGATCATAACTTTCATTGCTTGCAAATATTGTTTTCAAATCTGCTCTGATAAAATCCAAAACAGGAAGGACAACAGAAGATTTGAATTCACTTGTTGCTTTTATAGTCGTAGTTGGTTAAGCGACTATTCATCTACATTGGATTTCTTTTTAATAACAAACTAGTGAAATGCCAACTGACTCGTTAACACTTTTTGCTTCAAAATCGTTTCCCATAAACTTCGTAGGATCTACATCTCATTATACGTCTTCAATTAATTGCATCTCCACGTTAAGGACAATGATGACATCATGAAACCTTTGAAAGATCCAAAGTATGTACTTCTTGAGTCCCAAAACAGTATTTTTAGAATGAGTACATTCGGCTCCTGATAAGAAATGTCAGGAGTTGCTTCAGTAATAATTCAGACTTCCTACTGTACAGTAGGAATTTGGAAATCATTGACTATGTCAAAAATGTTTACTTCAATCAAAATGATTACCAATTATCTTCGTAAGACCTACATCTCATTAACCATGTCTTCAATTAGTTGCATATCTACGTTAAGGAAGAGGATGACATCAAGAAACCTTTGAGTGATCCAAAGGATACTTCTTGAGTCCCAAAAGAGTATTTTTAGAATAAGAACATTCTGCTTCTGATACTACTGCACTAGTGTACAGTAGTGTTGAAGAATTGAAAATTGTCTGAAACGTGAGGTTGGATTCGAAATCTTATATTCATCATGACAATTTAGAAATCATTGACTATGTCAGAGATAGCTCAATTGGAAGAGAATATTTCATTAAAGTTATTTCACCTTGGTAATTCAAAAATAATTTTCATTATAGGGGTAATATTGGGATTTCCTGGAGATTCATTCATCATATTTTTTAGATATTTAACCGATCAGTTTCCGTAACTTTAAAACCGATTCACTCACTGATTTTGTTGTTTTTTTGAAAATTTTGGCAGGTAGGTACTTATTTACTTTATTAAAAATACAAAGCTCAAAAGTATACAGAAGTTTTATTATAAGTTATCGTAATCAAATTGTACATAAACTCGTGAACTTGGTTGATGTATTACGGGAACGTGCTTCAAGTTTTCTTCTATTTTGCTGAAATGAAACGCAAATTAAAAAGGCTACAAACATTATTTTTAGTAAACTTTTTCAGGTAAGCTCTGCGAAAAGAACGTACTTACAAGTTCACTAGAGCACTTGCGACACAAGTCCGCTCAACATTTCTGTATTCTGCATGATAGTACTGACTCCACCTACTAGGGGAGCAATGAATCCTCCCACGATAGGGATCTTAAGAACTAATCCTTGAATGTTCAATGTACGTTCTACAGCGAAAAAAAGACCTTGAATGGCACTGACTAAGCTCTCCGCCGATGTAGAACCACTGAGAATACCAGCAAGCGCTTTCAGAAGTGTAGCCATCGATGATAGTATTTCAATTATTCCTACAAACATATATATTAAATGTTAGATCCAAGGTGAACAAAGATATCCAACGTATTAACAAGAAACATGGGGCTAATTCACATTTCAGAACAACTTTTGGGGGAAAGTAGTGTAAAACTGCTAGTGTGATGTTCTTCGAACCTCACTTTGTAACCTCTATGAAATGTGCTATAAAAGTCTTGCAGTGGTGGACATTCTGTGGTTGCATAGATGTTGGGGTTACTTTAAAAGTACATTGCATGGGAGCTTAAATATCCCGAAATTGCAACTTGTTAATTTAGATAGGATGTTTATGTGTTAGAGATAGGTATATCGTACAGTGTGAATATCATAGACGGTGTCGGCCACTGCATTTCTTCCAATATGCGATGCATAAGTGCGTGTGAAAGCTATAGAGAGTAGGCATCAGAGCTAGCAAAAAAGGAATGATGTCATTGTTACCATTTATACGAACTGACCGCGTTAAAATCCTGACATCGTTGGTATTGTTTCTTTCCTGCTTGCCATAGTGCTTACTCTATAGTTTTCAGACGAACTTGTGCCAAGGGATATTGGAAGATCTTCATTGGCTGGATAAGGAGATTGACCGGTACGCTACAAAATCTTATTTTGCAGTGCTAAAATTTAAACATAAGTAGGAAAAACCTGTTGACTATAAAGAACAACCAACTATTGAATTGGACCTATCAGATTGTTGAAGGGCTTAGTAATGACAATGATAAATATTGTTGAACAGATAGTGAAGTAGAAGAAAACGATGACGCTGGTAATGATAATAGGTGTGGAAAACTGAGAAGGTATTAGTTTTGCTGTTAACGAAAATGGAGAGAAAAAAAGAGGTTTAGATAATGCAGAAGATATTTTTGTTTTATTTTTGTTGTAGAAATAAAAACACTTGAATTCTTCTTGATGATCTAGTTAAAAATAAAAATAGGCTGTTGGGCTAAATATGTTAAGAACGTATATTAAGAACAGAAAAAAACTATTAATAGATTCTTGTAAAATAATATGCAATATTACAAATTATATAGGCATAATGTTTGTCACAATGTGTATTACATTGTATAAATTATAACCCTCAGAAAACCAAATATGGCTCCAAAATTTTTTCAAAATTTGATTATTTAATATCAGATTTTTATCTAGAAAAATACGTTAGCGAAAGGGTTAAAATGATGCACCCTTACACTATTAAGGTCCATAGTTATATATTACTGGTTACCCTCTGGGACGTACCTACTCCCATTTTTATCAATAAACTACGTAAATTGTAATATTGTTCATAAAAATGTAAATTATGACATTTTATTCAAAGGACACTATTATAAAAATCGTATTATTTTAGTAACTTACCCCCGCCTTGCCTGATTTCCACGTTTAATGATTCAATCGAATCATCTACAAAAAAATAAAATATTAAAATTTTCGTTTGAAAACAGATCAATTATATTTTTTCAAATTATGCTTACTAAACGAGGCATCATAGGCATAAGCGAAGCCTAAAAGCAGCAAGACGATAACAAAGGCACCCTTCATGTTCTGGTATTTTTGTTATACAGAAGAAGACTGACTAAAACATATTATTCCTTTTTGTAAATAATAATGCATTAAATACTTCATGTAGGTTAATTAACTGCATAAATTGTTCGTTTTTAGACAAAGTTATCAAACAACAAGCGTCTCGTTAAAAACAAAGAAATACATTATTAAAAAATATAAAATAATGGTACCTATGCATTAATTATTAATGATGTGTTATTTAAGCGACTAATTTTTTTTTTATAATAATGCAGCATCCCCAATTATTGGCCGTTGATTGCAACACTTATATTGACTAAAAAAGGAAGGATACCTTACAGACCGTTATAATATTTCTGATGCATTTTTATTATAAGATCTTTACCTTTGTTGGTTACAAGCAGGAAAGCAGGTAGGGGTAGATATATCCTCAAATTACTACGGTCTTTTGGTCTATTTTTTAAAATTAGAACAAATTTTAAATATGAAATAGATACTTGAATTAGGACACAAATAATAATATATTTTTTTCGACATAATTATGATAGTCTTCATTAGAAAATATAATCAGTAATTATTTTGCGGCAGGTTAAAAGGGTTTTTTTTTTTGTATTTCATGGTCACTGATTCCATCAACAAATATTTGGACAGCCAAAATTTCCATTATATTAAGCTAATGGTACCAATCTGTCAATATCTACTACATATTCTTGAAGAGTCATGTCTCGATTCTGTTTGCAATTTTTTAACTGTGGTTGGTACAAATGCTTCACAGGTTTTGCCATGTTTAATATCTTTTTAAATTGTTCAAAGTCATCTGGCTCTTTTACAGGTATTGTTTGAACAACATCTAAAGCATCTCCTCCTGGATTGATTTCCAAGCAGGGGGTCGATTCTCGACTTGTAGGATCCTTTTCCTATAGGAATTTGTGACACTTTTCCTATATGTAGGAAAATGTCATAAATTTTCGATGTATATAAAAATGTCAAAAATTCCTATAGGAAAATATTCCTACGAGTCGAGAATCGACCCCCAGTTAGTGTTTTAACTATAGTAAAATAAATGCCTCAAAATATAATAAAATGTGTTTAAACATTGAAAACATTCAATTGGATCAAAAAAGAAACCAAGACAAGAACAATATTATTATTCGATAGGTAACAACAAGTGAAATTATTTGGTTATTTATGTAAAAAGCTTTCAAGAAATAATATATTCATAATAAATAAAATTTTATTACCCCCCATTCTCCTACTCCGCGCTAGACACCGAATTCAAATATTATTTGTTTCTCTCACCTCTCATAATACCTATTTATTTATGTATCAAGGGAGTAAAACAGGCATTTATGGACCGCAACTAGTAGGGTCAATAAACGCTGTTTACGCCCGAAATACATCAAAATATTATGCACGACCCTTTTAATGATAATTTATTAACAAATATATAAATTTTTATGTAGGTACGACCGTTTTAATGATCGTTTATTAATATCTATTGGGTACTTCCTCATTTTTGGCTTTTGTGAGCAGGTTATTAATTACAAAATAAATTTGCTTCACGAGCGATAAAGGAGCACTTTACGCCCGCTAGACGTATTTACAATCTGAACTTTATCGCCCGGTCGTGCATTAATATAATTATTTGCTAAAACGCATCTACATACATTATGCAACCAACATATCACTAATGCCTCAGATTGCCTCATTGGTTGTTCATTACGTACTTCCGACCAACCCTGGAAGTTCGCTCTCACCTGTACCTACTCTTATCAACTCAGTATTGTTTAAAGAAGAATCGATCTTAACTCAAAGCGAGAAGGGTGTGGTGCGGTGCTGTGTGCTCGGAGTTTCGTGCAACTTTCCCGCCCATTGTCGGCATTGCCTGGTCGACTTTTTTATATCGTTTAATTAAATTGAATTAAAAAGAATCTCTCGGGGTGTTGTGTGGCGAAAAGTTAACGATTGCAAGCAGCGTCAAACTAGACAGCTTGCCATTAATATTTCTGTACGAATTGTGCTTTTGCAATTGCAATACATAATTCAAGTTAGAGTAGCATTTTGAATAGGTACCCCACAACGTTCCAGAACCAGAAAACTATACAGTACCTATACTATATAGGGTAAAATTAGTATAGGTGTCTAAACACTGCTGAATATTAAATAAGTAAGTAGGTAAATTTGTAATTAAACAGAAACTCAAACTCTAGGTTGTATTTGCAATGTATTGCAAAAAGTAGATACCTATATACGCCAATAAAAGTAGAAATTATTAAAAAAATTAATGTTATACTTATATCTTTATGACTTTCCTCGTATATGGAACAAACAGTTCAATATATACGAAGGACTATTTAGCAATTTTTGTCTAGACTAAAATTTTTCTGATAAAGTAGCAATAAATAAATTTACCTTATGGTACCTATGTTACTTTTGAATCCCACTGTACATTATGAAATATAAATAAAATTTTCGTATTCTCTTACAAACCTTAAGAATCCAAGAAATTGAAACGTTTAATAAAAAAATGTTTCTTCTAAAATTAGGTAAAATAATTAATTTTATTGAGTACGGTCCAAATAATCAAAAAGTGTTTAGTTATTCTCTGTATGATCACCCTCAATTTGTAATGCATAATTTTAAATATATGTAATATATCTAACGTTCATAATTCAAATTAACTAAAAAGTATGTGCCCTTTATAATTTTTTCTTATTTACACTCGCTATTTAATTATTTTATTACATTAATTATCAGAAAAATCAATGTACTTCGTTATTATAACGACATCGTAATCCTAGACATAGCCTTTTTATTTTGATCTAGTGCGCCGTCGTCACAAAATATGTCAAATTTCCGCCAATGATATTTCTCTGCCTTTTTGATTTTGAAATGGCGACTGTGCGCGTCTGTTTGATTCAAACGTGAACTTTTCATTAAATATTAACTAAAAATTGTGATTTTCAATAAATTCGTGTGATTCATCCAGACACCAAAAGTTTAACCAGGTATGTAAGCTATGTTTTCTAACTTTTAAAACCGGTTGATTGTGATTAGTACCTAATTGTATCTACCACCGTGGGACGCTTCCAATGATCCCTGAAAAATATTTGATTGTAATGGAAAATTATATCTTGAGATTGAAAAAAAGCTTTTACTTTTATTACGAATAAACTCCTATTTCGAAAGTGCTAGTACCTAGATACATTATTTATTCGAAGAAATAATTTTCATATTTTCCAGTAGGTAGTGTTTTCTATACCTACTCGTCATTTCACCGACAGGGTGACAGGTAGTTCTTTTGTTACACGTTTATAAATTGTGTAATAAAGTGAGGTTATTGTTATGTAGTTAAATACATTTTTCGAGGTGTTTTATCCATATTAAATGAAGTGTTTTCCTGTGGAAATACATCAATATTCTATGTAACAGGTAAACTTTACTAAAACTTTTTTTTACATTTTTATTATAAGTATAAGTTTAATGATAAAAACACTACTTAAGTATATAGATACTTACCTACCTATATCATTTTTATTTTGTATTCTATCTACTACAATAGTTAAGAATTTAAACTAAAAAGTTTTTTTTTGTTTTATTATGTAGTAGGTATTTATATTATATAAATATATTATTGAAATACGTGGGTAGATGTAAAAAGCCTATATAAGTAGGTACCTCTATCTACCTATTAAGAAGTATCAACTTATTTTTTCTCATTAAAAATGTAGGTATCAGTTAATATCAGTGTTTCTGTTTATAATAATTATTTTCAATTTGATTTCTTTAATAGAATAAAAGCCAACAGGTGTGAAGTTATCTACATCCACAAATGTACACTGAAAAAAATACAGCTCCATTATAATAGTCATATAACTTGGTTCAAATGACATGTAGAGGCTTTTCATTTGCAGATTTCAATTGAGGAGGTTTCAGTACATAACAACCATACCCGCAATTAACTTTTGATTCGTCTGAGGTGGTGCAATTGGGGGTGAAATTAAAAAAAAATCATACAAGTCACAAATGGCATTGTACACCTTTCTGCTTGGGATATGTTATGTAGTTTGCTATCTTCTTCATCCCTGATACCATGCTGGTGTTTTTTGAGCCGTCTGAGGGGTGAAATTAAAAAAAAATCATAGAAGACACAAATGGCTTTGTACACCTTCCTGCTTGGGATATGGTATGTAGTTTGCTATTTTATTAATCCCTGATACCACGCTGGAGTCTGTCGAGCCATCTGAGGGGGTACAACTAAGGGTGAAATTTAAAAAAATCATAGTAGTTACAAAAATAGCGTTGTACACCTTTCTGCTTAGGATATGTTATGTAGTTTGCTCTTTTCTTCTTGTCTGATATCTTGTTGGAGTTTGTCGAGCCGTCCGAGGGGTGCCTTTTGGGGTGAAATTTAAAAAAAAATCATAGAAGCCACAAATGACATTGTACACCTTCCTGCTTGGGATGACTTTGATTTTAATATTAAAAAAATAAAAAATAGCTTTGAAAAGGAAGTGTCTTGTGTCTTTTCAAAAGTAAATAAAGTTTTTTTTTTGATAATTTTATAGTTTTTTACCTTTTTTTTTTTCATTTTCTTTCAGAAATCACCTGTTTTTTATTTTTATTTCTTAATTAAACATTTTTTAAAATTAACATTTAAATAGTAATTTTTAAGATCCAAATTAATAGTCACAAAACAAATTCTGTTTATACCCCTCATTTTATTATCATTTAACAATATTTAGTTTTAAAATTCCAAATCATTTATGCTGTGGAAATAAAAAATATCACAACCGAAAAAACTGAAGTCATTCTGAGTTGAAATAATGGAAATATGTTCTTATATAAGTATTACAAAATTAAAAATTATATCTTTGAAATTATGAAAGATATTGATTTTTTTTAATTTCACCCTCAATTCCACCCCCTCAGACGGCTCGACAAATTCCAGCATGGTATCAGGGATGAAGAAAATAGCAAACTACATAACACATTCCAAGCAGAAAGGTGTACAAAGCCATTTGTTGCTTCTATGACTTTTTTTTTTAATTTTCACCCCCAATTGCACCCCCTCAGACGGAGCAAAAGTTAATTGCGGGTA